TATACACAATGGAATATTACTCAGCAATAAAGAGAATAAAATCATGGCACTGGGCTGGGGATGTGGCTCAAGCAGTAGCGCGCTCTCCTGGCGTGCATGTGGCCTGGGTTCGATCCTCAGCACCACATACAAATAAAGATGTTGTGTCTACCGAAAACTAAAAAAAAAATAAATATTAAAAAATTCTCTCTCTCTCTCTCTCTCTCTCTCTTTAAAAAAAAATCATGGCATTTGCAGGTAAATGGATGGCACTAGAGAAGATAATGCTAAGTGAAGTTATCCAATCCCACAAATGCCAAGTGTTTTCTCTGATATAAGGAGAATGACTCATAGTAGGGTAGGGAGAGGGAGCATGGGAGGAATAGATGAATTCTACATAGGGAAGAGGGCTGGGAGGGAAAGAGAGGGGGCAGGGGATTAGCAAGGATGGTGGAATGTGATAGACATCATTATTCAAAGTACAAGTATGAAGACACAAATTGTTGTCAACATATTTTATATACAACCAGAGATATGAAAAATTGTGCTGTATATATGTAATAAGAATTGTAATGCATTCTGCCATCATTTACTTTTTAAAAATTAATTAAAAATTAAAAATAAATAATCAAAACAGTACCTCAGCTAATAAACAACAATAGAATCATAATATCACCATTTTTTAACTCCTAATGTATTAATGGATCCAAGAAATGATCATCAATCACTGCCAACATCACAAGATTGGACAGATTTTGTACATCTCTTAATGGAATTCCATTACCTATGAACTATTCACATGTGTGTATGCATATAAAAACACAAACCAGAGTTTGATCAAACCTTTAAATTTAACTAGTAATTTATAGAAAACATAGACAAAGAGAATGATAAATGAGAAGACAGGGATTCAATCAGCAAAACCCAACTGTAAGAAACTCTTCAGGAAAAATGACTCAATGGCTTTAAGAACTGCAAGGAAAAGTAGACAGAGGGGGAACCTTCTGATTGAAGACTTAGGTGAATTCAATTGCAATGTACAGGCCTTCTTAAAATCTGAATCAAACAACCAACTCTGCCAGGCACCCATGATGCACAACTGTAATCCCAGTGGCTCGAGAGGCTGAGGCAGAAGGATTGTGAGTTCAAAGCCAACCTCAGCAACTTAGCAAGATCCTGTCTCTAAATAAAATATAAAAAGGGCTGGGGATGTGGCTCAGTGGTTAAATGCCCCTGAGTTCAGTCTCCAGTATAAAAATAATAATAATAATAATAATAATAATCAACTCTAAAAATGTGTTAAGAAAATCTGGCAAATATAAACACTGATTTGGTATGTAGTAATATTAAGAATTCACTGTTATTTGCTACTCAGAGGTTGAAGCATGAGGATTACAAGTTCAAGGCAAAAATGGCAATTTACTGAAGTCATGTCTCAAAATTTTTAAAAAGGGCTGCAGATGTAGCTCAGGGATAAAATGCTACCTGGCATAGCCCTGACTTCAATCAATCTCCAGTACTGAAGCACAACAACGAAATAACCTTACCATTATTTGTGTGACAATGCTGTTGTTCTACTTTTCTATGTGTACGTGAATAATTTCTTAGGCTTATTTCAAAATAATATGGAAAATTAGAGGAGTAGTAGATATGGATAGAAGCAAAACAAGCATGGTCACATGTTGTCAATTACTGAAGTTATATGATGAATACACATGGGTGTACATGTTTGTAACTCCTAATGAATTAATGGATCCAAGAAATGATCATCAATCACTGCCAACATCATAAGATGACAGATTTTGTACATCTCTTAATGGAATTCCATTACCTATGAACTATTCGCATGTGTATATGAATATAAAAACACAAACCAAATAGATAGCTATGGCTGGATGAATGGGTAGACAGACAGATAAATGAAAGGATATGGCCATCTCCCTGGCCATGTTACCACAGTGGAGCGAGGGGTCTATATAAGACCAAAACTTTTAGAATGACACTTAAAAAACTCATGTGTAGATGGGCATGGTGGCTCATTCTGTAATCCCAATGGCTCAGGAGGCTGAGGCAAGAGAACTGCAAGTTCAAAGCCAGCCTCAATAACTTAGTGAGGCCCTAAGCAACTTAACAAGACCCTGTATCAAAATTTAAAAGGAGGGAGCTGGAGATACGGTTCCGTGGTTGAACACCCTTGGGTTTAATCCCTGATACCAAAAAAAAAAAAAAAAAAAAAAGACTTATATATAATGAGAACATCACCTAAGAGTACAAAAAGTAGGAGTAAGTCACATAGTGCATCAAAGGGAGTATGATAAAAATAGAAGCATTTTCAGGAGTGTAGACTGAGCAAAATATTTTTCACCATTCCTGCACTTCATTTTCATGAAAGACATAAGGGTGCTTATAATTAAAGATTAATGGGGTTCAAAAAAGGGCACACACACACCCACACAAAAAAAAAAAAAAAAAAAAAACCCTACAACTAACATAATCAACGGTGAAAGACTGCTTTTCTCCAGAGATTAGATCAAGGCAAGAATGTACGCTTACCCTCCCATTCAACACAGTACTGGAAGTGTAAGCCTATGCTATAAAAAAAGACATCCCTATTGAAAAGGAATAAGTACAATTGTCCCTCTTCACAGATTACATGATTAACAATAACCTTCAGATACAGGAAAATCTACAAAGCAACAGGACACTGAGTCAACTGATAGGGCCCTCCCACAAGATCACTTTGGCTTCCTTCCTCCATTCTGACCCTTTCTGTCAGTTGAATCAGTTTTTGATCTCCACAAGAAACCAGGTATGATGGTAAAAAAGAAAATCCAAGAGAAAAATCTCGCACAAAAATGTCCTACAACTAATAAGTGAGTTTAGCAAGGTCACAGGATACACATTGTTAAAACCAATTCTGCCCAGAATTCTCACATTTTTGTACATTTTTCCAAGCAGAGAAACCTTCAGATTTTTACGTGAACTATTCAGGATGTTGTACAACTAAAATATATGGTATTACAAATGAGGATAATAGAGATTTTAACAGGTCATGGACATTAGAAGCTTATTTGGTTGGTCCCCAAACAGTCACCACTCAGCTCTAAAAAAAATGTAACATGTCTTGTTTACTGATATGAAGCCACTCTTTCTTTCTGCCCCATGGATTCCTCCTTCCTCCTCTATTCTCTCTGTTCTTCTGCTTTAAAAAGTGATTTAGGGAGCTGGGGTTGTGGCTCAGTGGTAGAGTGCTTGCCTAGCACATGCAAGGTGCTGGGTTCGGTCCTCAGCACTACATAAAAATAAATAAAATAAAGATACAAAAAAAGTAATTTAGATTTGGGCAGAGGCCTATCTGAAAAGGGAATATAAGCCCATTTGCACCAATATGCAGAAGAACTTGACAAGTAAGGGACTCAAATTTTTATGACTCCGTTGGAAAGACATCTAAGTGACCATCCTACCTGGTTTCTTTGGGGAATGGAAAACTCAAACTCAACTAAGAGGTCAGGAAGGATTCATAGGCAGGAGGGAAGGTAAGTGACCTTGTGGGAGGGCCCTTTCAGTTGATTCTAGGTACTGCTGTTTTGTTGTTTTTCCTATGTCTGGATATAGGAACCTCTAGGTTATACACTTGTACTTCTTTATCCTGTGTCAATGGAAGAGTCAGAATTCTGTTCTTCTGATTTTTTTCTATGTCAAATAGTTAATAGATTAAATTAAGTATTCAGGTAGTGCCTACTACATAAAAGGCAACATACTTGTGCAGATAAAGGGAGAACAAATTCCAATTTTTCCCTAAGGCTATTGAATACTTTCTGCCAAACAATTTATTCACTCTTCTTTAATAGCTTTTGCTACCATGAAAACATTAAAAATTTTTGCAACTCCTAGGAGTCAGTTTTCCAAATTATGGTTTTGAGATTATTTTTCTAGTCTCATAAGGAAGTTACTCATCTTACACACTGCACAAAGTCCAACTTTATGGTCATTTTCTCAAGCCATCTCATTATTGAGAGATTTTTTTCCCCACTTTGGAAAAATCCTTCCCCAAATATTTTGTACACTGTTACAAGTAACAGCAAACCCTGAAGCCCACTGTCTCACTTAGTAAAAGGAATTATGGACTCAATGTGATGGTCTGGGCCCTGTCTTTTTCCTCCTATCAATTTTGTCCTCCAGCTACCTTCTATTATGGTGGCAAATCTGCCAGCAGGAATCAGAGATGTATGTTTCTTCAATTATATCCAAAGTGAAAAAAAAAAAAAATCATCACTAAGTCAAAACATTAAACAGAAGCCCCAAACCTCACTGCTTGTATACACTGTGGTATGTCATCCCTGAACTAACCAAACACTGGGGCTGCTACACACTGTTAGAAGAGGAAGAGTAGATGATAGAGAGAGCATCCTAAAGCCTCCAGTGGTCATTCTCTCTTCTAGTTGACACTTCCTTTAGCTGATAGATTCAGCTACCCTTTATTTGTGCGCTGCCTCTTGGCATTCTTTCGGCCATTTCAAACCACAGGGAAACGAGTCGTCGTTCCAGGTGACCTTATTAATTGCAGTGTAACGGGAAACGCTAATGGAAGGTCAGGGTGACAGCAAACTCTTCAGTAGTTCAGCAGGAAGGCTTGTGGGGGGCACAGTAGGAGCTCGGGTGATCCCACAAGCAAATCTTAGCGGGGTGCCTGTGAAGTGGGGGTCCCAGGCTTTCTTCCGGTAATCTCCCCTCGCACGGACCCCATCACCAACAGAAAGGAGTCACAGAACTCAGACCTACCGAGTTCGCGACCCGCAGGCCCGGGACCCGGCCGAGTGACGCGCACACCCGACGGCACCTCGGTTCAGTCGGCCACGCTGGCCCCAGACCCGGCTGCGGAGCCCAGGGAACAGCCTCCGGAGCCGAGAGGCGGAAGCGGAAGCACCGCTGAGGTGTCGCCTGGGAGACGCTGGAGGCGGGGCCGCCCCGAAGAGCGCGACCTTTGACCCGCAGCCGAGGCTACGTCAGAGGCGGCGGCAGTCGGGAGCCCGGCGGCGGTGGCCGTGGTGCCGTCCGGAGGCGATGGAGGTAACCTAGCCGGGCGGCCTGGCCGGGTCCGGCTTCCCGCCGCCGAGCCTCCCGCGCCACGACTGGGACGAGGGTGGGAGCCCGGGAGGGTTACGCCGCCGCCTTCCCTTACTCTGCCCTGGGTTACCTGTCCCTTGGAGCCCGGCTGGTGCGATCCCCGCCAGCGGAGACCCGCCCCAGCACCCCGCTGTTGGGGTTCCCACCTGAGGGCTGTCCCCCGCGCGGGGTTCCCGACCGGCGGGGTTCACGCGCTAAGCCTGGGACCAGCAAAAGAGTTCCCTTGACACCTGGGTTTGCTTTTATTTTGTAGGATCCTGTTCAAGATGGGGTGGCCTCCGCAGCCACCCCTGGGACCGGGAAGTCTAAGGTGAAGAGAGTGTTTGACCAGCAGGCTCGCTCCAGAGTGGAAGGGTGATGGATTAGAAAAACTTTGATGTGGGAGAGGGAGGCCTATTTAAAAGAAAGGACCTCTTCAAGGCATTTCGATTTTAATTGACAGTTACTCATCTATTTTCCGCTTCTCTCTCCTCTCTCTCCTACTCCCCCCAACCTTGATTTCCTGATGGAGAAACCCGTTCTTGTTTACTTCCTGCTCCTGGTTTGCACTGCTACGAGATCCTGCAGTTTTTCAATCATTAAATGAAGCAGTCTACTTTATAAAGATTTCTGTAGTGATGCAGTGGAAAAGACCATTGAGTTAGGGTAGGAAACAAGGGGCTCTAGTTCCTATGTTGTGAAAAGAGAGAGTTGAGTTAGATCATTTTTATGGCCCCTTACAGTATTTAACATTCAGTGATTTCAGATGATAGTGATTTATTGCCAAGATTTATTGTTTGCATGCCAAGTTTCAGGCCCTTGCCTAAGCACTGGGTTTCTTTATTTAAGCTTCATGATAACCATGAGATAGTACTGTTATTATTCTTATTTTACAAATGAGAATCCACAGATGTTAAGTAATTTTCAAAAGTTGTGAAAGCCCAATTTTTTAGTTAAAGCTGAAAAGTTTCCTGATGTATCTTGTTGGTGTAGTTATAAATTTTCATATGACCAGAGACTTCTTTCAGCTTGGCATAGAATTTTACAGCTCTTTAGGAATTTTAAGAAGTATTAGTTCCAATCCCTAATTGTACAGTTTAAGAAATCAAAATCTAGAACCTCTGTCACAATAATCTGTGTAAGAAGTTAAGTGTTCTTTTTGCTAATAACTGATTCTTGAGTTGAAGGTGCATTTGCTACTTTAAAAAATGTGGAATAAAATATGGTGTTTGATTGGCTTAAAGGTTTAGTCAGTAGAATGTTTTTATTTTTAAGCAGACATTATGGTTTTTTGTGTGACATTCTGGAAATGTGATAACAAGTTGTTACACCTTTCAGCTGGAAACATTGCCCAAGGAAGATCTCATCAAGTTTGCCAAGAAGCAAATGATGCTGTTACAGAAAGCTAAGTCAAGGTGTACAGGTATTAGGTTGAAAATATTTATCTTGGTTAAAAATGGTAGTTTTTTTTTATTTTTACTTTTTAATATTTATTTTTTAGGTATAGATGGACACAACACAATGCCTTTATTTTTATGTGGTGCTGAGGATCGAACCCAGGTCCGCCCGTGCTAGGCGAGCGCTCTACTGCTAAGCCACAATCCCAGCCCAAAATGGTAGTTTAAATAGTACATTGGCCCATTTTTAGTTTTCATGATTCCAAATGCATCTTAGTCACTTGTAGAATCTCACTACTTAACAACACTTACCTCTTTTTGTGTTTTGTTTCGTTTTGTTATTGTTTTTTTTTTTAATATTTGCATGTCTAAATTACAGTTATCTTTGAATTGTTAAAGTTAGGGAGGACTATTTTTAATTTTGTAAAGTTAAGCATTTTTTTTTCCTTCATGTGGATTGTAGATTCCTCTGAGTTAAGTGTGTTTTCTAGAAGAGTCAGTTAAAATGTTAGAGATACAAAGTGGTAAGCCCAGAGACATAGTCAATGTCCTTAAGTAATAAATTCCTGGAAATCTGAAATGTATACGTTTGCTGGGATTGGTTGATTTTTCTATTCTGTTTAATTTTTATTTCAAAAGGAAATTAATGCTAATAGCTTAAGTGGCTGAAGTCTTGAATTTTAGATGACTTAAAAATGTTCACTGCCCAATCTAAAAAGAAAAAAGCCAAGACTTATTTTCTATCAGAAAGTCAAATTATGTTTTAGAATTTGAATCTGCTTATAATTAAGAGAGTAATTTATTTGAAAATGATGTTCTAGGCTCCAGAGCCAAGTTTTTTTGTTTAATATGAGGTTTAATATGAGTTCTTGCTTTAAAATTATACAGTAAGAAGTATTTATAACTGAAATAATATGTCTAGGATTTGTTTCAAAATTATCAGGATGGCCAGGTACAGTGGTGCATGCCTATAGTCCCAGTTACTTTGGAGGCTGACAAGGGAGAATCCCTTGAGCCCAGGAGTTTGAGACTAGCTTGGGCGATATAGTGAGACCCTGTCTCAAATTTTATAATAGGTAAGGGGGGAAGGAGGAAGTGAGTGCTATTAAGCATGAAATATTGTCAGTGTGATAATCACTAAAGCAGGATGATGGGTATATACAGATTAATCATACTATTTTCTCTACTTTTTTATCTTAAGTTTTCCATATTAAAAGGAAAAGAAAAGATGATGCTATTATGTGAGTCAATATTTCTCAAAGTGTCTGCTTCTTAAATATATTAAAATTTATAGGTTATGGAGGGTTTTTTTTTTTTTAAAGAATGTACTTATCAATTTAGTGATTATTTTCTGAACTGGAAAATTTTTTCAAATTATTTAGAATTGGAAAAAGAAGTTGAAGAATTCAAATCAAAACCTGTTGATGGAGGAACTGATGATATTATTAAGGTAATGAAACAATTGTGAATATTGCTTCAATTTTTATTTACCAAAAGGAAATGTCAGATGATAAATAGAATTTCCTTGAGGGATGTCAGTTTGCTAGAGGCTATCTGGCATTCTGTCTACCACTTCCTCTCTGGACTTGGTTAAGTTTTTATCACTCTGATTAACAAAAAAAAAAAAAATAGGGCTAATGACCTCTAGATCTCTATCTGAAATGAATATTTTCTCCCCTTTTCTTCCCACATACTTCTTAAATACCTCAGTCTTTGCCCTATTCCTCCCTGCCCCTCTCAGAAAACCTGGCCATGCTCAGAATTTCATTGTTCTAAAGATACGTGTAATCTGTAGGTAGATCTACATCATTAGATGTGCCTACTGACCCATATCTGAAGTTATATTTCTAGCTGCCTAGGGAAAAAACCCTCACACATTTCACTTGTCATCCTCTCAAGTGTAACATGACCAAATCTCCTCCTCTGGGTGGGTCAGCAGCACCACTGGGCTTTGTGCTTTTTGACTTATGCCTTAACTTTGTGATTTCCTTTATCTTCTACATGTATCAGTTACAAAGACTTGTGGTTACTTCAGCTTTCTCTCCATTTGCATGGCTCTCTCCTGCCTTCTGTCTTCATATACTTGTTTGGTCTGCTTGTTTTCTAGGTCTGCTACACATTTTTCCTGGAACTGGCTTTGGTGATGATCCTGTGAACTTCTACACTGCTTTCCTCCATCAGGCCCCCATTTGCTAGGGTCTCTCATCATTCACTTTCTCAGTTAACCATCTCATTTTGATAGAGCACATCTTTCTGTAGCTTCTTAAGAATGAGTGCATTGGAGGTGCATTTAAAAATGCCTTTAATTAATATTCTTTCACATAAGGAGTTCAAAGGGAGGCAGTCCTAGAGTTGGTTCAGTCTCCTAATGGTGTTGTCATCAGAACCAATTCCTTCATCTCTGTGCTCCTGCATCTTTATCTTATCAACTGGGGAGGCCTGAGGTTTAAGGTTTTAACCTTTATAGTATCTATAAAAAAGACAGATAAGGAAAAAATAGTTGATCATAGAGGTTAAATGAGACAGTCTACAGAAAATGCCACAGAACTTTTTGGAATGCTAATCTAGAATTATATTTTCATTCCAGTTTTCCATTTTGTCTGAGAAATGTCATTGACTTTTAATTTTCCACAATTATATTGAAATTTCTATTTGGGGGTTTGAATGTTTAATTTGGAAGAGCTCATTCTTGATATCTGAAAATTTATACATCTTATTTGAAAATTTAACATGTTCTGTTTTTCTGAGGAAATAAATTCATGCTGTCTTAAAGTTTACCTCTGCTTTTGCATTTTCTGTTTCCTTCAGGTTGAAATATTTTGATCACTTGTGAACCAAAAAGAAAATCTAGTATCTTGAAAATAACATACATCTTCCCAAGTAGTCCCCTACTATCCTATGCTACCCCTCCAGTTTCTCATACCCAAGGTAGCCATTATCCTAGCTGGGCACATTGGTCCACACCTGTAATCCCAGTGGCTCAGGAGGCTGAGATAGGAGGATATAGCAAGTTCAAAGCCGGCCTCAGCAAAAGCGAGGCCCTAAGCAACTCAGTAAGATCCTGTCTCTAAATAAAATACAAAATAGGGCTGGGGATGTGGCTCAGTGGATGAGTGCTCCTTAGTTCAATCCCCGTACCCACCCAAAAAAAAGTTTCATGAATGTTCAGCTGTAGGAGATTATGTCAAACAGTTTATAGTATTTGAAATAACTTTCACTTCTACCAATAACATACCCAGGATCCGATAGATCCATATCCTCTTCAGCACTAGGTTTTGTCTTACATTTTATTTTTGCCAATTAAATAAGTGTAAAATGAAAGGTCATGGTGATCCTGAAAGGAGTCACTCATTTTTTATCCAACGTCCATTTTTTTTAATGGACCAGTGAGCCTTTTTTTATTGATTTGTAGAATTTTTTGTATATTTTACATAGAGATATTCTTGATTATGCATGTTTTGAATATCTTTTTCCAATTTCTGACTTGATTTTTCAGTTTTTATATCTTTCTGAACACTTTAAGTTTTCCAAAAAATGTGTTGAAGTTCTCATATTCCTATATCTTTTCTCCTTTTCTCTTTGTTCTTGTGTTTATACCTTTTTGAATCTTTTATTTTCCCTTTAACATGGATTGGGAAAGATGTGATAACTATGCCTGTGGTCAGTCTACCATTTTTTATAACGTTTATTTATTTTTAGTTGTAGATGGACACAATACCTTTATTTTACTTAATTTTTATGTAGTACTAAGGATTGAACACAGTGCCTCTCTCACACATGCTAAGCAGGTGCTCTACCACTGATGCACAACCACAGCCCAGACCACCATTTTTTTAACCCCAAGCAAACAAATCCTTCTATTCCAAAACAGGCATTGACTGAACGTCTGGATGCTATTCTTCTGGATAAAGCAGAGACTGAACAACAGTGTCTTTCTCTGAAGAAAGAAAATACTAAAATGAAACAAGAGGTTGAGGTAAGACAATATTTAATGTTCTTTTATTTTTTATTAACATAGAGTAGGCATGAATTTTTTAGCTAACTAAACCCTTTAAAAGCATCTAATTGCCAGTTTTGGTGGCATATGTCTATGATCCCAGCCGTTCAAGAGGCTGAGGCAGGAGGATACCAAGTTTAAAGCTAGCCTCAACAATTTAGGGAGGCCCTAAGCAATTTAGCAAGACTTCGTCTCAAAATAAAAAACGGGCTGGGGATGTGGCTAAGTAGTTAAGTGCACCTGGTTCAATCCCTGGTACAAAAAAAGAAAAGGAAAAAAAAAAAATCTAATCCAGTCTTATGAAAAAAGAAAGATTAAAACAAAAAGAAAAAATAAAGTAAATGCAGTCATTCAGTTATACAAAGCTAAAGCTAACATTTACTTGTTACATCTTCTTTTAATACTTATAATGTCAAGAAAAATGAAAATAAGTTCATTTTTTCGCACAACTCTAAATACTGTTATGTATTCAGTTCTAGGATATTCAGTATCATATTTCTACTTTCTTGCCTGTTAGGTAATCTACTCAGGTTGAAGTTCTATGCCTTATACAACTTATATGATTTGTCACTTTTTTAAAAGAAAATTAAATTCAGAGATTTACTAGTTGTTAGGTATTACTTTAATAGTTTTAGTATTGCTGATCTTAGTTGTTCTACTTAAAGTAGATAGAGCCTAAGGAAAACTGTTGGAATCTCAGTATCATATTTCTGTAGTATATTTCCCTTCATTTACTTTGCTCTATTGGCCAGTGTCAATATCTTTCTTCAGGGTACGGGTTTCTTTTGTCTTACTTGATTTATTTGTTTTATTTTCATAACAGAATTCTGTAACTAAGATGGAAGATTTGCACAAGGAAGTGGAACAATCACATAGAAACTATGTGAAAGAAATTGAAGATTTGAAAAATGAATTGATGGTAGTGCATTCCAAACACAGTGAAGATAAAGCTGGCTTACAAGAGAAACTGGAAGAAGCAATGAATAAACAATTAGAGCTCTCAGAACAGCTCAAATTTCACAGTGAATCTGAAGATACTGTTAAAAAATTACAAGAAGAAATTCCAAAAATTAGGTCAGCCTTTGAGGAGCAAATTTCATATCTGCAAAAGCAGTTAGAAGCTACCACTGATGAAAAAAACCAAGAGATTACTCATCTGCAAAAAGTCATTGAGGAAAATTCTCAGCATTACCAAAAAGATATTAATAGTTTACAAGAAGAACTTTCGCTTTTGAAAGCTACCCACAAAGAAGAAGTAAGGAAATTGATGTGCCAAATTGAAACATCAACTAAAGAACATGAAACAGAAATAAACAAGTTAAACAAGCTAAATGAAAACTTAGTAAAACAATGGGAGGCAACTGAAAAGAGTAGTCAAGAGAAATGTGAATTGGAAAACTTAAATGTTAACCAAGACAATCAAATGTGTTCTATGCTTTTACAAGAAGATACTTTAGTAGAACAAGTAGTAAATGAAAAAGTAAAACAATTAGAAGATTCCTTAAAAGAACTTGAATCTCAACATAGTATCTTAAAAGATGAGGTAACTTATATGAATAATCTTAAATTAAAACTTGAAATGGATGCCCAACATATAAGGGATGAGTTTTTTCATGAACGAGAAGACTTAGAGTTTAAAATTAATGAACTACTATTAGCTAAAGAAGAACAGGGGTGTGTAATAGAAAAATTAAAATATGAGCTAGAAGATTTAAATAAACAGTTTTGCTTTACTAAAGAACAACATAACAAAGAAGTACACAGTCTTAAGGAACAACATCAAAAAGAAATGTTAGAACTAAATGAGACGTTTTTGTCAGGTTCGGAAAAAGAAAAATTAGCATTAATGTTTGAAATACAGGGTCTTAGGGAACAGTGTGAAAACCTACAACAAGAAAAGCAAGAAGCAATCTTAAATTATGAGAGTTTGCGAGAGATTATGGAAATTTTACAAACAGAACTGGGGGAGTCTGCTGGGAAAATAAGTCAAGAGTTTGAGTCAATGAAACAACAGCAAGCATCTGATGTTCATGAACTTCAGCAGAAGCTTAGAACCGCATTTAATGAAAAAGATGCTCTTCTTGAAACTGTGAATCGAATCCAGAGAGAAAATGAAAAGTTATTATCTCAACAAGAATTAGTACCAGAACTTGAAAATACCATAAAAAGCCTTCAGGAAAAGAATGAGTTGTACTTAGTTAGTCTCAGTGAAAGAGATACGATGTTACAAGAATTAGAAACAAAGATAAGTTCTCTTACTGAGGAAAAAGATGATTTTATAAGTAAAATTAAAAAATCCTATGAAGAAGTAGATAGTCTCCATAAAAAATGTAAAAGAGAAGAGAGCTTAGCCATAGAACTAAAGGAAAGAGTTGAGCAAACTGCCCAGTACAACAGTGAACTAGAACAAAGGGTAAATGAGTTAACAGGAAGACTAGATGAGACTTTAAAAGAAAAGGATCAAAATGACCAAAAAATAGAAAAACTTATGGTTCAAATGAAAACCCTCTCTGAAGACCGGGCAATGTTTTCATCTGAAGTAAAGGCTCTTCATGAGGAAAATAATAGACTAAACTCTGAAAACAGCCAGTTGAGTAAGGATTTGGAAGCTCTTCATTCTCAAAAAGAAGATTTTATCTTAAAAGAACATATTACTGAATTAGAAAAGAAACTTCAGGTCATGGTTGTAGAGCGAGAAAATTTAAATAAACTGTTTGAAAATGAACAAGTCCAGAAGTCATTTGTCAAAACCCAGTTGTATAGTTTTCTGAAACAATTAGGGTCAAAGGTTTTAGAAGAAAATGAAGAAGATGATGTTGGGAATATCCTACAAGCTATAGGTGAATCCTTAACAAAAATAAATGAAGAAAAACACAACTTGATTTTTCAATGTGATGAAAGGGTTTTAGAGTTAGAAAAAGAGATTAAGTGCCTTCAAGAAGAGAATGTTGTTCAGTGTGAAGAACTTAGGTCTTTACTAAGAGACTATGAACAAGAAAAAGTTCTTTTAAGAAAAGAGTTAGAAGAAATCTTGTCAGAAAAAGAGGCACTGCAACTTGATCTTCTAGAAATGAAGAATGCTAATGAAAAAACAAGACTTGAAAATCAGAATCTTTTAATTCAGGTTGAAGAAGTATCTCAAAAATTACATAGCAAAAATGAAACCCATTATGAAAAATCTTGTATAACGGAACATGAAAACCTAACGGCATTACTAGAACAAAAAGAAACTGAATTGCAAGATGTGAGAGCAGAGTTGACATTATTAAAGGTACTAACTATTTGAACTTTATTGATTCAAATAAATTCTTAGTTCTGGTCATAGACTCTAGAAAATTTTACATTAAAATTTTTCCACTTTTAAGTCAGAAGTAAATTTTTTAGCATTAATGCTCAAGTGGCAAATTTCTGAAAAATGCTTTAAATATGTTGATGTTATATATCCTGTTTATTATTACATTGATCTTTTTGGAGGGGTGTAATCATTTTAAAACCTTGAACTTATATAAGATTAAATGATTAGGGGTTTAAAATATTTTGGTCAAAAGTGTGTAGTCACTAGCAAAACTATGATCATGAAGAAATTTGAGTTACATTCTTATGCATAGTATCTTTTTCAAAGAACACTATTGAGCAAAAAGTAGACTATTTCACTTTGGCTACAATTTTAAGGTTTTCTTTTAAAACTGTGTTGTAAAAGATGATAAACTATAATCACCATTTGATCATTTCTTTATTACACATATATTTGATCTCTGAGTACTATTAGTTCTCAAAGTAAATGCCATATACATAACATTAGCGTTACCTGGTTTGTCAACACAGATAATCAACTTGCTTTTTTTCATCATTGGAAAGTAAATAAATTCTGTTCTTGTTTTTTTGTTTTATTTTCCCGTGTAAAATCTAGAATTCCATAGAGAAATCATCTTCTATAAATAATGATCAACTCTCTTCAGTAAAAGAGCTGGAAGAAAAAATAGGTAACTATGCTTTTCTATGTTGTCACCATTAGACAAATTCTGGTTAGAATAGATCAGGAAATAAAGTAGCTAATTAACGCATTGTTAAAAACATAATGTAGCTATCTTTGCCTTTAACCTCCATTGCCCCCAGCTATCTGTTTGCTTTTCCTTTCAATTGTCACTTTCTGTTTAATCCAACAAAACACTAATGTGACACCATTTGTAAATGGTTACATGATTATTTGGGGGATTTTTTATTGATCAGATATTATTTGAATGTCCACCTGCTCTAGACATTGTTAATAGAAAGGTGAATAACATATAGACAATGTTCTCAAAGAGCTCACTGTCTAGGGAAGCTCTAATTACCATAGTTTGAGGTTCAGACAAAGATAAAATGTTGATAGCATAAGAAGTTGCCTGTTGTAAGTTAAGAAAAATATCAGAAAAGCATTTTCAACTAGGTCTTTTTTTTAAAATTTTTTTAGTTGTTGATGGACTTTTATTTTCTTTATTTATATGAGGTGCTGAGAATTGAACCCAGTGCCTCACACATGCTAGGCAAGTGCTCTACCACTGAGCCACAACCCCAGCCCTTCAACTAGGTCTTGAAGATAGGGAAATACGACACAAGAAGAAAGGAAGGGATTGCAGCAAGAAGGAACATGAGGTGTTCATATGTTAACATTTTCAGAGTCAAGGATCAGACCAGGAAGTTCCTGACCATGAACATGCTAGTGTGATGTGCAGAGGAAATGAGACTTTATTCTAATCTTTTTATTCCACATGGTTTACATGGAATAACTCTTTTATTCCCATTTAAAACTGAAGATTTAGAAGTGTTGTATAACATGCTTATGATTCCTTAATTTAATAACCAATTAGATTGGGGTAGCCGGGAAATTGAAAGAGTTTAGAATAACTTCAGTTTTCTGTTGTGGGTGACCAGGGCATGGAGGGATGCTCAGTTTTAGACTAACTTTAAATACCAATTCAAGTGAAAATGTCAGATAGAATGCTTATGTAAATCTGGAGTTACAGAATGCTTATGTAAATCTGAAGTTAAGGGGAAAGAACTAGGCTGGAGATAAAAATTTGTAATTAAATAGTAGGTATTAAAAGCCATGAGTTCAAATCACCCAGCAATATGGAAAAAAGATGAGGACCAGAAATAGATAGTTTCATATTTTTAAATGCTGAAAACAAAGGAAATTGAGAAGGAGCAGCCAATGAGTTTAAAAAAGCAAACAAACAAACCTGGAACATAAAATTTCTTGCAAGTTAAGACAAGTGCAAGTGAAAAAAGTGGGGAAATGTTATCCGTAGCAGGTTCTGCTGATGGGTCAAGTAAAATGAGCACTGAAAACTAACCATTAGACTAAACAACGTAGAGGAGTTTCAGGATGTGCTAGTGTCTAAGATTGATTGCAGTGGATTCAAGAAAAAAATGGAGGAAGAGAATTTGGAGAGCATGTATAGACAATTCTTTGAAGAGTGTTTCTATAAAAGAGGGGCAATGAGTTGTTTTTTTAAATCGGAAAAATAGCATGTTTCATCTAATTGCAATCTCTCCCCTGACCTTTGTAACTACCTCACTGTTTGTTCCTGATCTTGATGTCTTGAGATTTTTCTTGTTGCATGTTTATAAACTGTTGGGGGAAAATCCACTGGAGAGGGTAAAATTGCTGCTCTAATGCCAGAGTAGGTGAGATGGCATTGCAGTGAAATGCAGAAGTGGAGCAGTTGGCCTTTGCTGCACAGTGTGGCACAGGTACACACTAATTAATAAGTAAGGACAGGAATTCAGATCATAAGTAAAGATATTCAAAGAGTAAAGTCCTGAGAGGCTGAGGCTGGGGCTGGGGCTCAGCGGTAGTGCACTTGACTGGCATTTGTGTGGCACTGGGTTAGGTTATCAGCACCGCATATAAATAAATAAGTTAAAGGTCTGTCAACAACTAAATAAAACTATTTAAAAAAAAAAAAAAAAGTCCTGAACCCCAGAGTTCATATAGGAAAAGTAAAGAGCTTAAGGAGAAAGATCAAAATTGGTTAGGTCTAATATATTACATGTTTAGCTGTGAAATTTAGATCCACCAACCAAGATGAGGTCTGTACATAGAAACTTACTGCATCTGATACCTTTTCTACTTGGTCCCAATTTAAAACCAACACCAAAAATCCTAGCATACCTGCATTTCCTGAAAATCCAACACTACAGGAGTCTTAACCTCTCCAAATCCAAGATTATTAAAAAGTGTAGTGTTTTAAGAACTAAAAATTACTTAGATAATGAATGATTAAGCCTTCACTTAATGGTAACATTGATGTTTTAGCTACTTTAACTTCAAACTGAAGATTTTATGTTCCAAAATAAAAATCAGTTTCTAGGGTTAAAATGAACAAGTATATTACCAGTGGCTTGGAGCTAAGGCAGGAGGATCAAGAGTTCAAAGTCAGCCTCAGCAAAAGTGAGGCATTAAGTAACTCAGTGAGGCCCTGTCTCTAAATAAAATACAAAAAAAAAAAAAAAATAGGCCTGGGGATGTGGCTCAGTGGTCGAGTGCCCATGAGTTCAATCCCCAGTACCCCGCCCAGCCACACACACCAAAAAAAAAAAAAAAAAAAAAAAAAAAATCAGATAATTTTGATGTTTTTTCCTTGTACTTCACATATAATCCTTTCATTTTCTGTTTTTAGGAAATCTGGAAAAAGAATCCAAAGAGAAGGAGGAAAAAATAAGTAAGATAAAATTAGTTGCTGTGAAAGCAAAGAAAGAACTCGATTCCAGCAGAAAAGAGGTAAGCCAACTCAAAAAACACAAGATTCAAGAATCTTAGGTTTTGGAAAATCTAGAGTTTTTACTCTTAATTTACTGTATATTTAAAATAGACCCAGACTTTGAGGGAAGAACTCGAATCTGTTCGTTCAGAAAAGGATCAGTTGTCTACTTCCATGAGAGATCTCATTCAAGGAGCAGAAAGCTATAAGGTAAAATAGTTATTTTAATAACAAGTTATATTCATAACTAGTAAAAAAAAAAAAATGGAAAGATAGGTACAGGGGCACACGCATATAGAGCATCACAAGTCTTGTTTTGTTTTGTTTTTTGGTGCTGGGGATTGAACCCATGGCCTTGTGCATGCAAGGCAGGCACTCTACCAACTGAACTATATCCCCAGCCCAAGAACATCACAAGTTTGAGGTCAGCCTTGGCAAGTGAATAAGACCCTGTCTCAAAATAAAAATTAAAAGACCTGGGTATGAAGCTCAGTTGTAGAATGTTCCTGGGTTTAATCTCCAGTATCACCAAAAATGAAGAAGGAAGAGAGAGAGGGATGGAGGAAGGAAGGAACTGGAAATGTAAAGTTCCTATCTATAAAATAATCATCTTGTATTTTTGTACTTGTTAGTAAATCTTTTTCCCTGGCTTTTTTTTTTTGTACATTGTAGTGTGGTTAGCCTTTACGTAGTACCTTTATTGTTTTTGAAAGTAAAATTCTGTTTGGGGATTTCTTAATAAAAACCAGTAAGAGAAGGTTGCTGTTATTGTAACTATGTAATATTGTTCTAACCAAGTTGAATGAATGTGAAGCTTAACACAAATAGTAACAAGAAATAAAAGCATTGTTATTTGGAAGTAATATACTTATCTACTTTAATAAAATAAAGCACTATTATAAAAATCAAAAAATAAAATCCAACAAAGTTACCAAGTACAATATAAAAGTCATTACATTTCTTCATGTATTTATTTGTTCAGTAAATATTTACATGCCTAGACTGAATTCTAAGCTCTGGACCTGATGGTGGTCAGCCAAACAGACTACCACCAACCAAATAATCCTGAACTCCTGCCCTCTTAGGACTTAAATTCCAGTGGCAATAATGGGCAAACAGAAAAAAGACATGATACAGACTATGTAGCAAAACAAAGGTAAATAGGAAGAAGTGAATGAGCAGTAATCAGTAGGATTTGATAAAAAGAGAAAATCCCTTAGTAGATAAAAGATAAAATTTTGAGAACTTTAATAAGCATTTGGGCACTTAATAAAGAAAACTTCAAAATTTATGTAGGGTAACTGAATATTATTGAAATACTAGTTCTCAAATTGTTTATAAATTCAAAAACAATTTTATTAAGAATTCTAGGGGGGCTGGGGATGTGGCTCAAGTGGTAGCGCGCTTCCCTGGCATGTGTGCGGCCCAGGTTCGATCCTCAGCACCACATACAAACAAAGATGTTGTGTCGCCGAAAACTGAAAAATAAATATTGAAATTCTCTCTCTCTCTCTCTCTCTCTCTCTCTCTCTAAAAAAAAGGAGGGGGGTTTGGAGGGGGGATCATAACAGTTATTCCAAATTTTAAATGGAAAATAAACTAGCAAGATTAGTTAATTCTTCTGAAAATGTAAAAGGGAAGTGACCTCTACACACTAAATTTTTTTCCTATTAAGCTATAGAAATATGGTAGAATTCTAATGTGAGAATGAGATTAACAGAAGAGACAGAGACTTCTATACAACAACAACACATACTTTTATGCCAGGCTGTCTTCTAAATGTCTTAGTATGCTTAATTCTCAAAACAACCACAAGAAGTATGTTATTAGCTTCACCAGTTTATAGGTCAGGAATCTGAGGCATAGAGATTCAAGGTCACAGACTAAAAGTTAGAGACTTCAGGGTCCCAAAACATAGCAGAGCTGGGATATTACCAACTATTCCAGACCTGTTCTTTCACCAACTAAGCTATACTATCTCAGGAAAACTTAAAAATAGAAATCACTGCGAGGCATGGTAGCACAAGCCTGTAATCTCAGCGATTTCAGAGGCAGGAGTATCACAAGTTCAAAGATTTAGTTGGGACCCGAAGCAACTTAGTGAGATCCTGTCTCTAAAAAAAAAAAAAAAAAAAATGCTGGGGATATGCCTCACGGGTTAAGCATCTCTGGTTGTGTCTCTGATAACAAAGAAAAAGAAATTACTGAAGAATTGGTAACCAGGCACAGTGGCACAAGCCTATGATCCCAGTTACTTCAGAGGCTGAGGCAGAAAGATCCCAAGTTACAGGCCAAGTTCAGCAACTTAGCAAGACCCTGTCTCAAAAATAATAAGAACTGGGGCTGGGGATGTGGCTCAAGCGGTAGCGCCCTTGCCTGGCATGTGTGCGGCCCAAGTTCGATCCTCAGCACCACATAAAAACAAAGATGTTGTGTACGCCGAAAACTAAAAAATAAATATTAAAAAAATTCTCTCTCTCTCTCTCTCTCTCTCTCTCTCTCTCTCACTCACTCTTTCTTTAAAAATAATAAGAAGAACTAGGGATGTGACTCAGTGGTGGAACACCCATGGATTCATCCCCAGTGCCAAAAGAAGGAATTAGAAAGCTATTGAGGATTTAATCCGTTTTTTATTTTATTGCACACACCAAAATAATTCTGGGTGGATTAGGATTTTTGAAAAGTATTTTTTTTTTAATCTAGGATAAAAGACTTGATCCTTTGACTGACTTCTAATACAAAAGACTTTTTAAATTTAAAAGCAATTTAAGTAACTTGTGTAGATTGGTAAATTGAACTTTATTAAATTAGTATACCTGGTCTTCCTCTGAAGGAAATTATTAGATTAGATTAGATTATAAAGTCTCTTAAAATATAAAGGAGCAGGCTGGGATATAGCTTAGTTGGTAGAGTGCTTGCCTTGCATGCACAAGGCCCTGGGTTCAGTCCCCAGCACAAAAAAAAAAAAAAAAAAAAAATTATATATATATATCTCCAGTTAACTGGTTCATGAAAGATGTTAAGCTCATATATAAATTTTAAATTTGGGGTTTTAAAGATCTCTTTAAATATTAAGAATATTAATCTTGTCATATTTTTATATGTAAATTTACATTTTCATTGACATATTTTTATATGTAAATATTTAACATCTCAAATGGACTTATACATTTTACGTCAGGCTTTATTGATTGTACAATCTGACCTATTGAATGAATAATAATAACCTAAAGTTAAATATTTTTGTCTTTTATTGAAGAATCTTTTATTAGAATATGATAAGCAATCAGAGCAGTTGGATGTGGAAAAAGAACGTGCTAGTAATTTTGAACATCAAGTAGAAGATCTTACTAAACAATTAAGAAATTCAACTTTTCAGGTAATTTTAAATTGAGTAAATTCACACATGAAAATTTTAATATATTTTAATCTCCAATACTTTTTGAATAAAATTAAAATACAATCAGGAACAGTATTTCTCCCCCCACCCCGCATCAGGAGATTAATTTAACAAAACAATAACTTATTGCTCTGATCTCAGTCCCACTGGATTTGTTTTGTTCCTGTTGTTTTTCATATTCATCTTTTACTTTATAGATGCATCTGGTCTTTTATAAATTTTGCCATATAAATATTAACACTGATGGTTTTGAAACTTAACATTGTCATCCTGTGGGATTTATTTTGAAATTTTCATTTTTCACAGTATGCCAATATTCTTATTAATGTACCTTTTCTTCCTCCCTTGAATATATTTTTTGCATGTTTACAAAAATGAATCATTTGTCATTCCAGTGTGAAAAACTAAATTCTGATAATGAAGATTTCCTGGCTCGTATTGAAACACTACAGTCTAATGCCAAGTTATTAGAATTACAGATTTTAGAAGTCCAAAAAGCCAAAGCAATGGTGGACAAAGAATTGGAAACGGAAAAACTTCAGAAGGAACAGAAGATAAAGGTAAAAACAGTCCTGTGAGATGATTCACGTATATATAATGATATTTTTACCAAAATATCATTTAAGGAAACAACTCAATTGAGTCTTTAATTAATTGCTTTATGTATGCCAGCTCTAATTTTGAGAATCTAAGATGTGATATTTGCATGTTTATTCTTTAAATATTGAAAGGTCACCAAATTTTTTGAGTCTTTGTGTATCAGATTTATTTTATAACCCCTAACACAAGTAGTTTTTTTAATGTTGATCGAATTGGGGGGGGGGGTATTTTTAATTTTAGGAACATTCCAGTACTATAAAAGAACTCGAAGAACTTCAGGTACAACTTCAAAAGGAAAAGAAACAGCTTCAGAAAACTATGCAAGAACTAGAGCTGGTTAAAAAGGTAAAATAAAACACCAAGATTGAAAACTGATTTCATGGGCCGGGACTGTGGCTCAGTGGTAGTGCACTTGCCTGGCATGTGTGAGGCACTGGGTTCGATTCTCAGCACCACATATAAATAAATAAAATAAAGATCTATCAACAATTACGAAAAAAAAATTTAAATGTTGCTAAAAAGAAAAGAAAACTGATGTCATTGTTCATATTATGAAGCTACTCTGTACATATCAAAAAGGAATATTTTTAAATGTTGTGTATGGTACTAAAATAACCCTCATAAATTGTCAGCCCCAATAAATTGGAATTTTAATTCATTTCTCTGTCTTTTCAAAAGAATCTGGGCTTATGAATTAATCAGAGTTTGATTTGATATATCATTTTCTATACATGATTGTTATGTGATCTATGAAGATTTAGTTAAAGTCAAAAGAACAGTACTATAAGAGCCACTTAAAATATTAATATTTCAGCTGGCTGCAGTGGTGCGTAGCCATAATCCCAGCATTCAGGAGGAGGATCACGAGTTCAAAGCCAGCCTCAGCAACTTAGCAAGGCACTTAGCAACTCAATGAGACCCTGTCTCTAAATAAAATATTAAAAAGGGGCTGGGGATGTGGCTCAGTGGTTAAGTACCTCTGAGTCCAATCCTCAGTACCAAAAAAATAATAGTAATATTTCATAAATAAGAGTCCCCACAAGACTTGAATTACTAATTATGGTTAATGAAAGTTTTTTTAAATGAAATACAATATAGCTAAGAAAATTGAGTTAAGCTGTTAAAATATATATATTTGATTTTATGAAATTAGAAACTGAAATATCCAACTTCTATTTTCTTCATTACTGTTTACACTATTCTGTATTGTAGAAGAGCATAACAACCTGTTAATTCCTACGGCATCATGTTAGCAATCTAACAAGTGAAATTAATAACTGAATCTTTTATAAAATGTGCAGGATGCCCAACAAACTACATTGATGAATATGGAAATAGCCGATTATGAACGTTTGATGAAAGAACTAAATCAAAAGTTAAATAATAAAAACAGCAAGATAGAGGATTTGGAGCAAGAAATAAAAATTCAAAAACAGAAACAAGAAAACCTACAAGAAGAAATGAGTGAGTAAAATGAAATTCACTTTATGTTAAAATTGTTTCATTGTAACAGATTTGGGGCAGGGGCATTACTGGGTGTGTCTAACATAGTGCTAACCATTGTTTAGGAACAGAAGGAATGTAAAACCATTTGCCATTAAGGTTTTTACAGTCCATGCTGGTGCTTGACTGTGTGTCTTGACAGTGCATGCTAGTGTTTATTCTTAAAGTTTTTGTTATGTGAATAATATGAAGATACAAGTAATCTTTGTCCAAGATTTGCTGATTGTCAACAGATTAGGAAAATTTAAATAGTAATGAAATGCAAAGAAAACAAAAGGAGACTGAAGCAAGGTGCAGAGGCAAAGTGGCAGAATGGCAGGATAGCAAAATGACATGAAGGCCTCTTGCCCAAGCTGCCAGCTTTATTTATATCAATAGGTTACATTAGGTCACTGGCATCATTAGTACATTATTGTTCATTGTGACATTAGGCTGATTACAGAGTTAGCAACATTATGCAGCATTTTACGTACTATAGTTGCAATGTGCAATGTTAGGAGCTTTGTATCTCTCTCAAGAAAGTCCATTGTTTAAAAGTTACTGTTATGTGGACAGGTTCAGGCTCAGCAGAGCTTGGTGAAACATTATGGTTGTCTTGTAACAAGAGAGTTTATTCCCAGGAGCTGTGTGCCTGAGATCAAGGTCTAGGCTGATAAGGCTGTAGCACAGAGCCTTCTCATATAGGGCATTGCTATAGCAGCTAGGCATTCCATACCTTTGCACAGAAACTTTCCTAACAGCTAAGCATGCCACAGCCATGAATTCATCAGAGACCCCAGTCCCAAACACAGAACCTTTACAGTGAAGAATTTCTTTTTAATGTAATTCTATCCATTTTATCCATAATTTTTTCTAATGTGGGAGTTAACTGAGTATTGAACCCCATAGGCACTCTACCACTGAGCTTTATCCCCAGTCCTTCTTATTTTTTGTTTTGAGACAGAGTCTCAATAAGTTGCCAAGGCTGGCCTCGAACTTGCAGTCTTCTTGTCTCAGAAATAACTGGTCCACACCTGATTCCATAAAATATTTTCTGTTGTTAGCATTGAAAACTATGATTTTCCCTTTAGGCATTCTTTAGTTGCATCTCATGAATGAATATGTTATATTCATCTTTTAATTCAATTCAGAATTGTCATTTTTGTTTGAAAATAGTTTTGGGTTTATTTATTTGTTTTTTGTTTTTGGTATCAAGGATTAAACCCAGAGGCATTTAACACTGAGCCACATCCCTGGCCCTTTTTAAAATATTTTATTTAGAGACCCGGTGTCACTGAGCTGCTTAGGGTATTGCTAAGTTGCTGATGCTGGCTTTGAACCCACAATTCTCCTGCCTTAGCCTCCTGAGCTGCAGGGATTACAGGCACATGCCACCATACCCAGTAATAGTTATCTTCTTCTTTAAATTTTATTTATCTATTTTTTTTTTGAGACAGGACCTCACTTAGTTAATGAGGCTAGTCTCAAACTTTTCTTTAAGTTGTAGTTGGACACAATACCTTTATTGAAGATCGAACCCAGTGCCTCCCATGTGCTAGGTGAGCACTCTACGGCTGAGCCACAATCCCAGCTCCTATAATAGTTATTTTTTTTTTAAGACAACTGACTCTAATTTTATTTTACTTATTTTTTTTAAAGAGAGAGAGAGAGAATTATTTTAATATTTATTAATTTAGTTTTCGGCAGACACAACATCTTTGTATGTGGTGCTGAGGATCGAACCCAGGTTGCACGCATGCCAGGCGATTGCGGTACCGCTTGAGCCATATCCCCAGCCCCAATAGTTATTTTTTAAAGCAGAAGTCAGCACACTATGGCCTACAGGCCAGCTTCCTGTTTTTATAAATAAAGTTTTATTGAAACAAGCCATGTTAATTTTTTTATAGTGTCTGGCTGTTATTGTGTGTCAACAGCACAGATGAAACAGAGATTAATGGCTGACAATACTATATTATTTATTATTCAACCTCTTAGGAGAAGCTTACCAACTCCTATTTTTTAAAAAAATTAAAATTTAGGAATTTTTTCAGTATTTAGCCACATATTTGCCATTTCTGGTGTTCTTTGTTCCTTTGTGTATATTCAAATTCCATTAGGTATGACTTTCCTTTTGCTGAATAGCTTCTTATATCTTGCAGCCCATAAGCTACTGTCAATTAATTCTTTCAGCTTTGGTTTGTTAGAAAAAGTCTTTACTCTGCCTTCATTTCCAAAAGATGCTTTTGCTGGGTATAGAATTCTATGGTATATTTTTTCCCCTTTTTGTATCCTGCTTGTGTTTATTCAGCTTCTAGGATGTATAGGGTTTTTATAAATTTTTTTCAAGTTTGGTACATTTTGGCCATTATTTCCTTTTTTTTTTTTTTTTTTTTTTTTTTTTTTAAATTCCCCCAGCCCCTCCCCAGGTCTTTAATTAGATTTTTTATCCCACTTTATATAGTTCTTTATGTCTGTGATTTTTTTTTTTTTTTTTTTTTTTTTTTCCTTCTATTTGTTTTCTTGCTTGCTTGTTTGATTTTTGTACTTTCTGAACTTCTTTTTGGATAGTTTCTATCACTGTGTCTTCAAATTCTCTGATCTATGGTATTTGTTAATCCCATTCAGCAATATGTCTACTTTAGATTTTGCATATTTCATTTCTACAATTTCCATTTTTTAAAATATATTTTCCATTTCTCTCTTCTCTATATGTTTGTTTTCCTTAAATTCTTGAGCATATTTAATAACTATTTTGATGCCCTTTTTTGCTAATTTCACCCTTTCTGTATTTACTTCACTTGTTTATTTCTGTTGATTAATTCATTAATTTTTCTTCCCTCCTTCCTGTAAATAACATTATTCTGCTTCTTTGTAAACAAAAATTTAGATGTGACTTTTTCATTGCTGAATGCTAGATATTTTTGTGTTCATTTAAAAACGTAAACTTCAACATTCAAGTTATTTGTATTTAAGTTTTGTATTTTTATGAATTATTTTTCATGTCCTTTAGGATGAGTGTAGGTCTGGTTATAGGTCTGGTTCAACCTACCACTAAGGTGGTGCTCATCAAAGTTCTACTGCAAAGTCTCTTCACTCTGCCTGGCAGAGATTCATCTGATTTATATCCCTCAGAGTTGTCCAGATTACAACTCTCCGTTTATTGTTCTTTCCACAGCAGTTCTTTGCATTTCAGATGACCAGCTCTATTTCAGATTCACATCCCTGCACCAGTCCAGAAACTGCTTCTGTGCAGAGTTAAGACAAGTAACAGGGTTTACCATGTTTGTTTACCTTCTCTCAGGGATCACAGTCCTGCGCTGCTCATTGTCTGAATTCAGAAAAGTTTTTTTTTTTTTATGTATTTTGTTTCATTTCCTAGTTTATGACAGGAAGGGAAGTCTAGACTGTTAACAGTTACTCAGAGCAAGAAGCAGAATTTCCATAAAATAATTTAAGATATTGCCATACAATAAAATTTTAGATATAAGTGATGAGGGATTAGTATGAAAGAAAACATTGAAATAGATCTCAACAGTTGAGTCAGATAAAAGATTAAAACATAAAGTATACATCTTCTGTACTTTTGCTAGAGGTCTCCTTTAAATTTGACTTTTAGCATCCTAGAAACCAGAAGAAAGGCAGAAACATCAGTTACAAGGTTTATAGTATCCACAATAATAAAGCAAGCTTATGAAGAAACAGCTTTTCCTGGTACCACATCGTGTAAAACAACATTCTTTCAGATTTTATATGTATTTTTTATTCTGTTTATGAAGGATATGAATACTTAGGTGAAGTATTCAGTTCACTTTCAGAGATGGGGAAGATAGTCTGCTATGTTGGAGTATTTAGATGATAAGAGAATCTGGGAAAAGTTACCAACCTCATGTCAGTGAAATCCTTGAATTGCTGGCCTAAGGACTTTTAGCAGAAAAGGAAGCATTAAGATAGTGTTCCAGCCAGGTGCAGTGCTGCATACCTGTAATCCCAGGGACCAGAGAGGCTGAGGCGGGGAAATAGGAAGTTCAAGTCCAACTTCAGCAACTTAGGGAGACTCTGTCTCAAAATAAAAAACAAAAAGGGCTGGAGATGTGGCTCAGTTGTAGAGCACATGCTTCGCATGCGTGGGGCACTGAGTTCAATCCTCAGTACCACATAAATAAATAAAACAAAGGTATTGTGATCATCTACAACTAAAAAAAAAAAAAATTTAATGTAGTTTGTTCACTCTGCCTTATAAATTAAGGTAGGTTCATCTTAATTTCAAACCCCTTCATCATGTGGTCCCATTCTAACTTTTCAGTTTAATTCTCATTATTCTCACAGCTTGTAAAGAAGGCTGTAAGCTTTCTGGAGACATGATGTTTTCCACAAGTGTGTATTTCATCTACTGTGATTCTTCTTTTCATGACCTCATTTTCCTCATTTCTTTCATGCCTATCCTCCTAGAACAGGAAGCATTTAATACTAAAATCCTGATTCTAATCCTAAATGCTTCCTGCTCTGTGAAATCTCCCTCAGAGTTTCACATAAAGTGAATATAAACTTTAGACGTGGAGCTATGTAACCTTTTGTTTTTCTTTCTAACTTTTAAATAGTGCTGTCTTGCTTATTATAACCCCTAGAGCACTTTGTAAGACTTCATATGTAATTTGGACTTTATAAAATACTTTTCAGAACTGGATAAATATTTGCCAGGAAATAACTGAATTAGGTTTACTACCAAAGTATAGTTAAGACACTCCTGTTCCTGTTTGCCAAGTAATGTAATATATGTGTGTGAATTTAAGTTTGTACAGTTAATCATTGCTTATATGATTTTTCAACAGTCCAACCACATAGTGTCCATGTAAGTAGTCTAGATCAGGAGTTAAGCACACTTTTTCTGTAAATGACCAAATTGTAAATCTCTGAAGCTTCAGAGACCACAAAGTCACTGTTACATAGTCTTGGTTTATTTTATAACAGACTGCAGCCAGATTTGTCCTGCTCATTGCAGAGGCTCCTTGTGGTCTACACAATTAATCCACTTATTCCTACTTGATATTTGCTCCTTCTTTGCCTCTGTAAGCAGCAAAGTTTCTTCTTTATTATGATTTGATTGGCTCCTTAGTGTGCTCTCTTTTACTGACAGTCCCTCTCACAAAAAACATCTGCAGGCTGGGGTTGTGGTTCAGTGGTAAAGCACTTGCCTCGCACGCGTGAAGCACTGGGTTCAATCCTCAGCACCACATAAAAATAAATAAATAAAAGACCAAAAAAAGATATTGTATCTATCTACAGCTAAATTTTTTTTTAAAACGTCGAGTTACTATAAGAAAAACAGATGATCAAGTAGGAATGTGCCTCTAATATGATAGAATTGTAAATATACAGACTCTCTTTTGAGGTACTTATTTAAAGTAGATTTCTTATCTTTTAGAGATAGAGCAAATATAGACCTTTATTTTAGAGATATACACTGAATATTTACAGATGAACAGATTTGCTTTAAAGTAATCCAGAGGGGATTCAGAGAGTAGGTAAGGTATAGGTCAGGGGTTGACAGACTTTTTCCATAAAGAGCCGGATAGTAAATATTTTAGGCTTTATGGGCTGCTCAGTCTCTGTGGTGATTACTCAAGTCACTGTTTTAGCACAAATGCAGCCATAGACTGTTTTGAATGAATGAGCCTTGCTGTTCTAATAGAACTGTATTCACAAAAATAGCCTGTGACTTTGCTGACTCCTTGTCTGGGTGAGATAAGATTGGGTGTATTAGTAATTGTTCAGTTGGATGATGGTACATTGGAGTTTACTGTACCTTAGTTACTACTGTCAAGTATGTTTGAAATATATCATAATAAAAAGCTCAAACAAATTAATACAAAGGTAACTTAATACAAAGAAAAGACTCATCATTGACATATTTATATTCACTCATTAAAAACTGTTTCATCTCTTTCTGCTGAAATTATTTCCCATGCTAGCTTCACTACAGTCTTCAGTGCAACAGTATGAAGAAAAAAACACCAAAATAAAGCAGTTACTTGTGAAAACAAAAAAGGAACTAGCAGATTCAAAGCAGGCAGTATGTTAATTTATTCATTTTTCATTTTAATATGTATTCATAGTTTATTTATAAATAATTTCATTTTTTAATTTAACCAAGATTCTCATTCTGTAGGAAACTGATCATTTAATACTTCAAGCATCATTAAAGGGTGAGCTGGAAGCCAGTCAACAGCAAGTGGAAGTCTATAAAGTAAGGTTCCTTGTATTTTTTAAGATTTAAAAAAAAAAAAAAAAATTCCATATTGAAATGAGTTATTTTCTAGGGATTTTATTTATCCTGTAAGGAATTACCTTCTAAGGATATTGAAAAGGATTTCTCAACATTTTGAGGAAGTAGAAGCACTAAATCAGGTAGTATAAAACTGGTAAACCATTTAGTTCAGGCCAGATTATTTTCATGCATTTGAAGAATATAGTTCATAATAAAATAAATGTAGAATATAGTTCATAATAAAATAAATATAGCCTCAAACCTCATCTGAATCCTCTGAATGATATTGCATTGACACAAAGCAATTCATGAAATAGTTTTATATATTTGTTTAAAATATATTTGTGTGTGTGGGTGTATAAAATGTTTTGAAGTGTTAAATATGCAATCTGGTATTTGGGGGATTGATTTCTTTATTAATTTTGGTTTAAGAAAAAGTAAATCACCTTAGCATAATAAATGGTCTTTTCATATTGCTTTACTTTTTTAATAATAATAAATAATACCTAAAATTTTTTCACTACTTAATTCTATCATTTATATATACTTATCTCAAAGTTCATGTTTTAAGGAAAATATCTTTAACCAGTGAAGATATGAATTACCAGAGCTAAGCTTAAAGCTTTTACCTTTTAGATTCAACTCGCTGAAGTAACATCTGAGAAACACAAACTTCACGAGCACCTGAAGACCTCTGCAGAGCAGCACCAACGCACAATGAGTGCATACCAGCAGAGAGTGGCTGCACTTCAGGAAGAGAGCCGTGCTGCAAAGGTGTATCCTTCATAACGGAAGCCTCTTCCCAAGGGGATTTATTAACTGCTAGTGAGCAGTTTACTCAGGGCTGTGATCTCCTTTTCATTGGTTTGCAGTTAAGAGCACTTAATTAAATGAGCTCTTGGTTTGGCTCAGCCTGCTGTACCCCAAAGTGCATCCTCACCTTAAGAATCATTTGAATAGCAATTTTTGCTAAGCCAAAAAGAAAAATATGAGCACATATTGTTTCCATTTAAATCTTGTTGTGTAATTTATGTATGAAAGAAAATCACTTATTTGTAAAACCTTTTTATTTTAAAAGTATTATGAATCTGAGGACTTACAAGTTATAAAATGACATTCTAATAGAGTGTTCGTTCATAGGAACCTAACTTTTTGTCTTCAACATACAAAACAATTAGAAATGATACAGTAATTTTGTAGAGGTACAGCTCTTATATAAATGATCTTGCAGTAGTGTTGTGTAAGTTTACCAATCACTTCAGTGGATGACGCAGAATTTAACTTATAAGTAAAAAAAACTTTATAAAATTACAAAAGCAAATAGTGTATTGCAAAGTTTATGGGTAGTCAATAAATCTAAGAATTTCTTGTTAGACAAAATTATATCCTTGAAAGGCTTTAAAAAAGTGTAAGACCAACAGAAGTGTACTTTTTTATGAAGTTAATTGAGGCTAAAATAAATCTTAGCTATTCATTTTCAAAAACAAATTTTCATCTTAGTTTGTTAACCTGGAAGAAAATGGGATCATGTTATAATAGAAAATGTTTTCTTTTAAATATCATAGGCAGAACAAGCTGCTGTAACTTCTGAATTTGAGAGCTACAAAGTCAGAGTTCACAACGTTTTAAAGCAACAGAAAAACAAATCTGTGTCTCAGGCTGAAAGTGAAGGAGCTAAACAAGAAAGGTAAAGTCTTTAAAAAAAAAAAACATGAGACACAGGTTCTTCACCAAGTAGGTTGAAAATCGTATTTTGATTTCTTTCAACTATAGAATTTTATATATATTATTACTGTAAGGTCAGGGACCGGTGACCAAAAGTAGGCAGATTAAAAGGCTGCTGAACAAGGCTTTATTGATATTTGTTCCCAGGCAAGACCCTCCAATCCAACAGAGCAGGTCCAGAAGACTCGCAGGCTCAGCCGGATTGGAATTTTTATTGGGTTTAGGGCAGGAAGGAAGGGCTTGGGACAGGAAAGGGAGGTTTTTAGAGTCCCTTGTCCTACTGGGTTGGTTGGGGGAGCTTGCAGAGATCCAGGATTGGTCAGGAGACCTGGCTGATTGACAGGTGGTTCTGTCGACACCTGATTGGTGGTTCTTTTGCATGTGTTGGTCACCTGGTCCTTTGTTCCCTTAGCCACCTCAAACCAACCTAACAATTACTAACAAACATTTGGCATCACTTTGACTAAAATTTGATCTTCTCTTAATAGAGGTTGAATGTAGTAGTTCAGTTCATTCCAAGAAACTCACACATGCAGTAGAAATTGATTTCAGTTCATGATCCCTTCCTTTTCCCTCCCCCTTTCCCTCTCATCCTCCCTCCCTTTTCTCATTCTCCTTCTTCTACTCTACTTGACTTCCTTTTGCTAGTCTATTAATTTATATTTGATTAAGTTTTTGGGGGGAGGTACCAGGGATTGAATTCAGGAGCACTCAACCACTGAGCCACATCCCCAGCCCTGTTTTGTATTTTATTTAGAGACAGGGTCTCATTGAATTGCTTAGTGCCTCACTTTTGCTGAAGCTGGCTTTGAACTTGCAATCCTCTTGCCTCAACCTCAGCCCTCTGAGCCACTGGGATTACAGGTGTGCGCTACCTCATCTGGCTTGATTGGTTCTTTTTTTTTTTTTTTTTTTTTTTTGGTGCTGGGGATTGAAACTTGCCAACTAAGCTATATCCCTAGCTCTTGATTGGTTCTTTATATAGTCCTATCTTTCCCCCTTCATTTCTTTTATTTTACTGTAGCTTCCACATCTGAGACAAAACATTCAACCTTTGAGTTTCTGAGTTTGGCCTGTTTCACTTAACATGATATTCTCCATTTCCATCCATTTACCAGCAAGTGCCTAATATCATTCTTTTTATGGCTCAGTAAAACTCCATTGTGTATATAAACCATAATTTCTTAATCCCATCTACTGAGAGGCATCTGGGTTGATTCTATAAGTTAGCTAATATGAATTGTACTGCTGTAAACATTGAGGTGAATATATCTCTGCAATATGCTATATTTAAAGAGCTTTGGGGAAAATACCAGAGAGTGGGATAGCTGGGTCATATATGGTGGTTCCATCCCTAGTTTACTGAGGAATCTCCATACTATTTTCCAGAGTGGTTGTACTAGTCTGCAATTCCACCAACAATGTACAAATGTTTCTTTTTCCCCACAACTTCACGAGCATGTGTTGTTGACATTCTTGACCATTGCCATTCTGACTAGAAGGAGATGAAATCTTAGTGTAGTTTTGATTTGCATTTTCCTGATTGCTAGAGATGTTAGAACATATATTTTTCATATATTTGTTAGCCATTTGTGTTTCTTCTTTTGAGACATTTCTGTTTAGTTCTTTTGTCTATTTATTGATTGAGTTATTTGTTTTGAGTTTTTATTATGCTAAGTTTTTTGAGTTCTTTGTATATTCTAGATATTAATCTCCTGTAGGAGGAGTAGCTGGCAAAGATTTTCTTCCATTCTGTAGGTTCTTTCTTCGTGTTCTTAATTCATTTTCTTTGCTGTGCAGAAACTTTTTAGTTTGATGGCATTCCACTTTGTATTATTTATTGCACTTTGGAGGTCTTATTAACAAAGTTGGTGCCTGCACTAATATGATGGAGTATTGACCCTATGTTTTCTTCTAGTTGTAAAGTTTCTGGTCTAATTCCTAAGTCTTTGATCCATTTTGATTTGAGTTTTCTGCAAGGTGAGGGGGTGGGTGTGTAATTTCATGTTTCTACATATTGCTGTATAGTTTTCCGAGCACCGTTTGTTAAAAAAGGCTGCCTTTTCTCCAAGATATAATTTTGATGCCTTAGGAAAAAGTGTCACCATTTTCAAGAGCCATTTTTGAGCATGCCTGAAGATTGGGTTCCAACCATTTGAATATAATTGTTTTACATTTTTTCTACTTTCTTATACAGTCAATATTTTTTTAAAAAATGAAATGAATAGGACTGGGGTTGTAGCTCACTAATAGAACACTTTGCCTTACACATATGAGGCACTGGGTTCAGTCCTCAGCACCACATAAAAATAAATCAATAAAATAAAGGTATTGTGTCCATCTACAAAAAAGAAATCTTTTTTAAAGAAATGAATAGAGGGGCTGGGGATGTGGCTCAAGCGGTAGCATGCTCGCCTGGCATGCGTGCGGCCTGGGTTCGATCCTCAGCACCACATACAAACAAAGATGTTGTGTCCGCCGAAAACTAAAAAAAAATATATATATATATATTAAAATTCTCTCTCTCTCTCTCTCTCAAAAAAAAAAAAAGAAAGAAATGAATAGAATATTGTGTGGATGGTGTCAAAATTATGGATTTTAAATATTTGTTTTCATCTAAATTTTATTCTAACTCTAAAAAGACCTGCTTTTCTTCAGGTCTTGTCTTTCACTGTAGCTTGGTCTAAATATAGTTCTCATAATGGTTAATATAGAACTATGTAGGTTATTTTTTAACTAATGGCATAATTCATAACATAAATAAGCTATTTTGATGATGTTTAATGTTCTATTCCACTGTATAAATTTTTAAAATTCAGAGACTTCTTATTTGTAAATTTATAGCACCAGAGGTTTAAAATCTAACATCTTTTATTATATCTAATCCTATTCTTTGAATCCTTACGATAATTATATTTGCTTTAGAATCATTCATAATAATGAGTATGACATGGAAAGATTAAATGATTAAAATATATTGGAAACCACAAAAGGGAGTTTCACTCCTTTCATGTTTTATAACTATTTATTTCTATTTTAGGGAACACATGGAAATGTTAATTGATCAACTGAAAATCAAATTACAAGAAAGCCAAAGTAACTTACAGATTAATGTAGCTGAACTTCAGACATTGCAATCTGAGCATGATACTCTTCTGGAGAGGCACAACAGGATGCTTCAAGAAACAGTATCCAAAGAGGCGGAACTTCGAGAAAAGTAAGATTGCTAGTAGCGCTAATGCTATTTGTAGCAGTCAGCAGTGTTTCTTTGTTAGAACTACTAATATGTTGCTCCTTGGAATAAGTACAGATTTAAAAATAAGTAGACATTTCTAAAGGCTTAATAACTTTGTTTCATTTACCATAAAGCCTCCCTCTTTGGATTGTTTTTGTATTTGTCATTTTTAGAATATTAGTGTTATTAAAAAGAGTTACTAGTATATAGTTGGTACCACCAAAACCCTGTCTGAAAATTTTTTTAAAAAATAGAAAGGTCTGGGGACATAGCTCAGTAGTAAAGTGCCCTTGGGTTCAATTCCCAGTACCACCAAAAAAAGAGGAAGGATTATATATATTATATAGAATATTGCATGGATTATATCAAAATTATAATATGTATATATATGTATACATGTGTATGTATATATGTGTGTGTGTGTATGTATATATATATATACTGTTAACACAAAAGACAATTAATGCCTCAGAAGAAAGAAAATGCTACTTTCCACCCCAAGTGTCAAATTATAAGCATTTTTCTTCATTTCCAAAGGAAAACATTTAAACAGCTTCTAACTAAAAAATAAAATGCAGCTCACCTTTGCAACTCTATTTTCAACTTATCATATCTTGTTAATCATTACAATATTTTATTAGACTTCAGGAATATAGGCAGAATAAATAGTTTATTGCAAAGAAGAACTTTTGACCTCCTATAATAGGAAGTTGGTGGTAATACGTGTTATATCTTAGGGCACTGAGAAAGAATTCTTCTTTGAGTGTCTTTCCTGAAGGGTTTTAGGGTACTTTACCTGCCAAAATTGTGTTTATAGTATATACATAATCTTATGCTAACCTGAAAAAGGAAAGGAAGTGATTTCTTGGCTTACACTTTTTTTTTTAACATGTAGTTTATATGTTAATCACGTAAACCAAAAGTTTCAGGGAAGATCTACCAACATTTTAACTACTATCAGCAGGGTTTCCATTAGATTAGCTTATAAATAATTACATTTACTTGATATTTACAACAGAAATTTTCAGCATTTTTTCTTTACTATAGAAAAGTTATTGCAAAAGCATTGCTAGCCAGGTACAGTGGCACATACCTGTAATCCTAGCGACTCAAGAGGCTGATACAGGAGGATTGCAAATTTGAGGCTAGAGTTGGTAACTTAGTGAAACTCTGTCTCAAAATAACAAATAAAAATATATGGGGGTATAGCTCAGTGGTAAAATACCCCTAAATTCAATCCCCTGAATCCCTAATACCACCACCACAAAAAAAAAAAAAAATGTGTGTGTGTGTGTGTATAAGTGTGTATGTATATATGTATATAATACACGTGTGTGTATGTGTCTCCAGTATTGCTAACACAAAGGACAATTAATAATTGATGCTTCTAAAGTATTTAATCATCCCTTGAATATTTTGAGTAGCTACTATATATTCTTTTAAATACTAAAAATTGGCCTTCCTCCTTCAAAAATACTTTCTTTGATGGTCTCTGTTATTTAAATGTTTGAATATTTATACTTTTTCTATATGAAATTATAAAAACAGCTCCAGAGGAATGTGCTAATTATGCTAGCCTGTTACATACATTATCCAGAGAGCCCAGGTAATGTAACATCCCAGTAACAAATGGGATAGGAAAGTGAACTTTCACTAGCATATTCATCCCAATTCCATATGAAAGGGGTTTGCTCATCTAGTTTTCACATGGGTAAATTCAGAAGTGTCGTTGATACTGCCTGAAAGCTAGAAGCCTTGCCTAGCTCTTCAGTGTTTCTTTATTCTCTTAGAAAGTTGTGACTTCCTAACAATTCTTCCTTGACTTTCTTGTGCCCCTGGTTTCAATCCCAATACCAAAGAAACAAAAAACTCAAAAGGAAAAAATTTTTTAACCAAAACCAAACATATAAAACTTTAAAACTACAAGTAAATCATTAAAAGTAGTTATTCCCAAAGTGTAAGGTCTACTAACTAGTGTCATGCTGATTACATGAAAAAACTGCTAAAAGTTGGCAATTCCTAGAGCTATTGCTGGAGATTCTGATTCAATGACTGTAGCATGAAAACTAGACGTCTGAATTCTTTTTTTTTTTTTTAATATTTATTTTTAGTTATAGTTGAACACAATACCTTTATTTTATTTATTTATTTTTTTATGTGGTGCTGAGGATCAAACCCAGCACCTTGCATGTGGTACATGAGTATTCTACCGCTGAGCCACAACCAGATGTCTGAATTCTTAAGAGGAACTCCAACAATTCTGATGTACACTCAAATTTGGAAGCAGCTACAGTAAACCAGGTCTTTGTATTTAAGTTTTATATTAATTCACTCAAAAATGGATACTTTCCTTTAAGACTCTCTTTATAGAAAGTGTTATTTTTCATGTTTTCATGGTAATAAAGAAAAGAATAATGTTATATTTGTGGAAGCTGCTACATAAAATGACCTGAAGAAATGGGTTAATTACAAGCATAATTTTAGGGCTGGGGTTGTGGCTCAGTGGTAGAGCGCTTGTCTTGCATGCATGGGGCACTGGGTTCAATCCTCAGCACCACATAAATAAATAAAATAAAGGCATTGTGCCCATATTCAACTAAAAAAAATTATGTCTTTAAAGAAAATATTATTTTAATAAAGATGTTATATAAGCTAGGAAGATGTTGAGGATGATGATAGGCATTTTGGTAATTATGATAGTATATGTTATACCCTAAATATAGTCCTAATTTATGATGAACCATTAAGAAATTTCCTTGCCTAAATCACACAACAGAGTCCCTGAACCAAGGCTCTGTATCTGAACTGTAGAACACAAAAAAAGACTTCTAACTAGAGGACAGCTAGTCATCTAGATTTTAACACAGCAGTACATTATAGATGTATAGGCGACAAGTTGGTTCATACATACATTTATTAGATGTCCTCAGGATTCTTTTGCAGAACCCAGTTGAGAAAGGCTGAGTCAACATATGAATTAAGTTCCTTTCATTCTTCAGGTTATGTTCAGTACAATCTGAGAACCTGATGCTGAAGTCTGAACATGCTCAGACAGTAAGTCAGCTAACATCCCAGAACGAGGTCCTCCGCAACAGCTTCAGAGATCAAGTGCGACATTTGCAAGAAGAGCACAGAAGGACAATGGAGACTTTACAGCAGCAGCTCTCTAAGGTGGAAGCTCAACTCTTCCAGCTCAAGAGTGAACCAACCACAAGAAGTATGTATGTACCCATGGAAGTACTAGTTGTTCATGTTTTTCACATATTGATGTCACTTGAATACACACATTGTTCACAAATTCACAAGAAAGTCAGAATTTACTAGATGGCAACCAGTATCAGTTCTGTGATTAAAATTTTGAATTTCTGCTTACTAAGAACCTTTTTTAACCATTTGAACCCTTCTGGATTATACTTAGAGCAGCCTGTGTTACCTCTTAAAATACTGATTCTCATGAATTTATTATCTTCCATGTAAATGAGTATTTCTTTTTCTCTGACTGAAGACATACTCATTGTAATGAGAAATACTCTAATTCTAGTATTCACCACTGGATACTTTATGTTCTCCATTGTAGATCATCAAAATATATCAAATTTCCCTAAAACCATTAAGAGAGCAAGGGGCGAAGCAGCACTGACTCGTAGAATTGTTGGCCAGTACAGTGCTTTCCCTTTCTAATTTTTAATTCGTTGGAATCTTAATCTTGCATTCTCCCAGGAAGAATTGGGAAATTGTCAACCATCTTAATGCTATGCTTTAGTCATAATTTTATTGTGTTTGTTTCACACAGATGATGTTGTCAATGGAACATGGCAGCTACAGGTCACTTGTCAATGTCAGAAAACAATTTCAGAGACTTTTGACATGTACTAAGAGTCAAAATAGGAAGTAATCAGCCAGGGAAAAATAAGTCACACAAGAGGTTGTATTCTAGGAATGAACAGTGGAAATAAGCAGTTGGTGAAATATCAGAACCCCAGGAAAATGCTCCAGAAAGGGCAGAGAGCTAACTTAGGGTTGAAAGAACAGTAGAGGCAACTTCATGGGACCAAAAAAAAAAAAAAAACTCTGGATTAGAATTTGGTCCCTAACAACCATGATACCTTGGGTGAAGTCATTAAAGTTCTCTGTACTTCAGATTTCTTAGACTCAATAAAGTAATGTATTTTGAAACTATATTATGAACATGACAGTTCTGTACAAGTGTTCGTTATCAGCATCATCAAGATCGGCTGCCCAGCAGACTGCAGCAGTGTTTTGTGTTAGAAAGAATGCAGTGACGGGAAATACCTAACCCACAAAAATAGGTAGACTTTTTAACAAAATTTAGTAACCGTTTAGCCCTCTGCCATAAATTAATGAACATAAGTAGTACAACATTATGATCTTTGTCTTATCCAACAGTTTATCATAGCTAGATGGTAGCAATTAATAGCTCTGCTCAAATGACTAAAATGTTTAGGCTAGGGATATAGCTCAGTTGGTAGAGTGTTTGCCTTACATGTAAAAGGCCCTGGGTTCAATCGGCAGCACCACCAAAAAAAAAAGCCTAAAATGTTTAAAAATTCAGTGACTATTGTTCGGACTGGTTTTAGCACTTCTCTTTTCATATTCCATTTGTCTTTAAGTTCCTTTGCCATCCCCAGAATCATTTTATTTTAATAGAGTATCTTTGTTAAAAGCTGAATCCATCAGTTTTGAACAATCTCATACCTTTTAAAAAAAATATTTAATAGGCCCAGCTTCTTCCCACCAACCTTTGAAGAACCTTCGAGAAAGGAGAAACACAGACTTACCCCTTCTAGATATGCACACTGTAACCCGAGAAGAGGGAGAAGGAATGGAAACAACTGATACCGAGTCTGCATCTTCTGCCAGCACATACACACAATCTTTAGAGCAGCTTCTTAATTCTCCTGAAACTAAACTTGGTATGTTACACTGTCTAAATATTTCTCTTATTCAATTGTACTATCTTTTGAATTAATATTACTCTAATTTTTACAGCCTTTTGAACCACTTTCCAATAAAATGCCTTTCAATATTCTGCTACTTATTCAAATGAAAACTTTCCTGCAGTGTGAAACAGATGTCTTTTTAAAATAAAATGCTAGTTCTACCCTACGCTTGAGCCAGAAATATATGATTGAAAGTCCTTTAGTGGTATTAGCAAGTAAATAAACTAGTCTCTTACCCTTTGAAGACACTGACAATTTCAGTTTTTCTTCTTGATGAAGTAGTGCTAAATTTGCTCTAGTAAATGTAGTTTTGGTATATTTTGTTCTTATCTGTAATGAATGTTACTATTCATAATTTAGGAGGGAATATATCATCTTTCTGAAGTTTTGGAACCACCTAGAATAAGAGCCATTTGTATCCATGGTCATTGATCGTATGGGTGAAAAGTGCAAGTTATGGTTCCCTTAGGTAGAATCAGTACTTGTGACAAGGAATGATCTGATGTTGTAGTGGCAGACTCCAGAATGAGACTTGGCTTTGTGATTTTTGTCAAAATTACTTGTCAATCCTGAGCCAGATCCCTTATCTATAAAAATTTGCATAATGTACCTCTCCTACCTCATAGAAAATTCTTATGGAGATTCCGGATATAAATGGACTGTAAATGTTACAGCTTTCCTCATTCATAAGTGAAATAATGTAAGTTCACGGAACATTAATAGATGGAAAGAAGGTGTATACTGAAACCGATAAAATGATTTAGCTTAGTGATAGAGTGCTTGCCAGCATGTGTAATGCCTTGGGTTGCGTCCCCAGCACCACACAAAAAAAAAAAAAAAAGAAAAAATCGGGAAACACAAGCTCTGACAGAATTTAGAATTAAGGCTCACAGGGCTTGTATTCCTTTTTAAACTATATGCATTACAACACAGATTCTGTCTTATTTGTGTTATTCAGCATGTAACCTTTGAATTGGGATATGTTGAATGAATGGCAAACAAAGTCGACTTACATAATAATGCAGAGTTCTTATTTATATACTTTATATATAAATGTTTTTCTTTTTTTTTTTTTTTTAAGGAGAGAATTTTTTTAATATTCATTTTTCAGTTTTCGGTGGACACAACATCTTTATTTTATGTGGTGCTGAGGATCGAACCCAGCGCCCCGCGCATGCCAGGCGAGCGCGTTACCGCTTGAGCCACCTCCCCAGCCCCTAAATGTTTTTCTTATTTAGAATCTTTATCTTTAATCTCTGGTGTGAAAATTAATTCTTAGAACAACATCTTGCAGAACCTCCTGTATGGCATGCTGAATTTACCAAAGAAGAATTGGTTCAGAAGCTCAGCTCTACCACAAAAAGCGCAGATCACTTAAATGGCCTGCTTCGGGAAACAGAAGCAACCAATGCCATTCTTATGGAGCAAATCAAGGTGAGGTAATAAAAATCTGACCACCATGCGAATGCTCTGCACCAATTTGATTGTCTGACCCTCTACACATACCCAAGTTTAAATCTTCATATTTCAGACATATCTGTAACATCTTGATTATTCCCTATATTAGATTCCTGATGGGAAGAAATATTGATTGTTTTTATGTCTACTATATACACTTTTTTTATATATATTTTTTAGTTGTTGATGGACCTTTATTTATTTGTATGTGGTGCTGAGAATCGAACCCAGTGCCTCACACATACTAGGCAAGCACACTACCACTGAGCCACAACCCCAGCCCCTATATACACTCTTAATTCCTACTTTTTCTAAGAAATCATAATAGATTTAGAAATTGGAGTGATATAAGTTCCACATATGCTTAAGTAAAACTTAATAAGCATGGGTCCTTCAATTCTAAACAATGAAGCACTTCTAACTCAAATTATTCACCTGATGTTTGTGACACTGAACTTACTTAGCACAGTTAGTAGGCAGAGATAGCAAAGTGGCATAGGAAGTTTTTTCTCTTTAAAGTCAACATGAAATATCCAGAAACGTTTCAGAGCAGTTAAATATTGCTTAAATGATATATTTCCACCCTGGCTCATTGATAAATCACCTCCAAGAATAAACTCATGGTACTTGTTGAGCCGTGTTCAAAACCCAGGTCCTGAACTGTACATGTATATTGTCTTAGTTAACCCTCACAGTCCCTGGAAAGGAGGGGGAAAAAATGAAGCTGGTAAATGGTGGGGCAAAATTCTAACTGCTGCGTGAGAAATACATTCTTCTGCTTCTGCATGTTGTTGCTCCAGATAGATCTGCTCTGCCTCTGTGTAGGGTCACCACCTATCCTTGTCAGATTATTATTTTTTTAATGTTGAATTATTTACTTTTACATATATATATGATATTCCGTTACTAAATACCTCAATATTTACCTATAAAACATTTTTTCGTCTATCAAAACATCATTATATCTCACAAATCATTGACTAGCCCAATAAACCTAAGTGACGTATTTAAATGTTGTATTTCCACAGATTTACACTTGCATGATTTCTTGCACTCTCTGGTCACTTTTTTAAATGCCCTGGATTTTAGGACGGAGTTAACTGACTTTCCTGGACTAACCTAAAATTATAAAATACTGTATAACAAAAACTACAGCTTTGTTTAAACCTAGAAATCATCCTCAAAGATTTTTAATTTCCTACTACCTTTTTTGTATCATTCTTTACCTCATTTTTCTGGTAGTAGTTAAGATGTCTTAAGCTCCTGAATGTTCACATTATCCTGAATTTGACTTTTGTTTTGGTCAAGTGCTGTTCACTGTGAACATCTTACCTGCCTGAGCTCTGTGAGCAAGGCAAGGGCATAAGGTTAGTAGAAGTTGTGGATGTTTACTTCAGTGCCTGTTTTCAAACTTGCTTACCTTCCTCAGCTCATGTTCTACAGAGAGTAGAAGATGGTGAGAGCATCATAGTACTAACTTATGTCTGCAGTTGTTCATTTTATAGATTTCCCATTAGTCCTCCAGTTTTCAGCCCCCATTTCCATGATGCCCTGTGCTTCCAAGGCAGGAACTTCTCAGTGTTTACACAGGATGCATCCCCTCCTCTAGTCAGTGGTAGTTGGGAAGCCACTGGACTGAGTCACTTCCACTCCTTTATCTGCTTCCCATCTTCTTGGAATTTTTTGATAAATCTCATTTATTCTTTTTTCCCCTCCTAGTGCTTTCTTTATTGTCACGGGGACACAGATGTTCAGGGAAAATAAAAATGCATGTGTTTAGTCTGCCATGTTTGACCAGAAACCAGTAAAACCTATTTTTAACTCATTTCTCTAACAGCTCCTCAAAAGTGAAATAAGAAGATTGGAAAGAAATCAAGAGAGAGAGAAGTCTGTTGCTAACCTGGAGTACTTGAAGAATGTCTTGTTGCAGTTCATTTTCCTGAAACCAGGTAGTGAAAGAGAGAGGCTTCTTCCTGTTATAGATACAATGTTGCAACTCAGCCCAGAAGAAAAGGGAAAACTTGCTACAATTGCTCAAGGTATGAGATAGGAGCTTCCACTTCTGTTTATAACTTACACTAACCATTGGCCTATAGTTAACAATTTATGTGCCTACACATATTTCATGATACTATAATTTTTAAAATTGTAGCTATTAAATTTTGTTCACTTGAATTAATTCCATCATATATGCCTGTGACTAGATTTGAAAAGTTGACATTTTAACATATAGTACATTTATATAATTTTAACACTCAGGAAAATATAATACATTGTTTATTTTGATCTTCTCACTCTTTGAGATTAGATTTGTATTCTGGAGTTGAATTCTAGTATTGAGTTGAATATGAATGTGGTTTTGTTTTAGATCATACTTTTTTTTTTTTTTTTTCCTTTGTACTGGGGATTGATCCCAGAGGTGCTTAACCACCAAGCCACATCCACAGCCATTTTTTTTTTAATATTTATTTTTCAGTTGTAGTTGGACACAATACCTTTATTTTTATTTATTTATTTATTTTTATATGGTGCTAAGGATCAAACCCAGGGCCTCGCACATGATAGGCGAGCACTCTACTGCTGAGCCACAACTCCAGTCACAGCCATTTTTTAATATATTTTATTTAGAGACAGGGTCTCAATGAGTTGCTTAGAGCCTCACCACTGAGGCTGGCTTTGAACTCACAATCCTCCTGCCTCAGCCTCCCAAACTGCCGGAATTATAGGCATGTGCCACTGTGCCCGGCATACTTTTTTAAAAAAAAAAAAAAAAACATAATATTGAGCTGTTCCTGTCCTACTTCACCCCCATCCTCTTCCCACCTCCAGACAGTCTAGGAACAGCAGTTATATGGCCCATATCCTGCTGTCCTCTTTCCAGGTGAATGAAGCTGTAAAGCTGTCCTGTTGTGGAGTTTAAATTTTCATGTCAATTTGATGGTGTGTTGTATAAACACTTGGAAATGCTTCTCATACAGCTGCTACAGTTCCTGATTTCATACTACATCTTAAGCATCATGATTTTATTTTCGGGTTAGTTTTTTTGTTTTTGTTTCATTTTTTGTTTTTGTTCTCTTTCTTGACATGGAGGTCTTACCATGTTGCCCAGGCTGGTCTGAAACTCCTGGGCTAAAACAATTTTCTAGCCTCAGCCTCCCAAGTAACTGGGACTATCTGCACACACCACCATGCCTCGCTTAGGGTTAGTGTCTTTTGTTTTTTTGTTTTTAGTATTTTTTTAGTTGTAGGTGGACACAATACCTTTATTTTATTTATTTATTTATTTATTTTTATGTGGTGCTGAGGATCCAGCCCAATGCCTTCATACATGCCAGACGAGTGCGCTACCACTGAGCCACTACCCCAGCCTGGGTTTAGTTTTAAAACATCTTTATTTTTGACATTTTCAAGTGTGCAGAGAAATTACAGTAATGTATTTTGTAGCTGTCACCCATCCCTAATAATTTTCAACTCGTGGTCAGTCTTTTGGCAGACATAGGAAGCACTAGAGATTTTAAAGCAAATTGCACAATTCAATTTATTTCCCTGAATTCCTCCATCATCTGTACTCAGTTCATTTTCATATACATGATTCCTATAAAAAGATACAAATGTCTTTTTCTTTCTTTTTTTTTTTTTTTGTAGTTATAGATCGACAAAATAGCTTTATTTATTTTTATGTGGTGCTGAGGATGGAACCCAGGGCCTCACACATGCTAGGCGAGTGCTCTACCACTGAACCAGAACCCCAGCCCAACCCAAATGTCTTTTTAAGTATCAAAAATAGGGCTCATGCATTGCATTTGGTTGGTTTCCTTTGTTTTGTTGTGTTTTGATTTTTCATTGGAGGGATGTATTTTGTTTTTCAAGGGGGTTTGTTTTGTTAGTTTGGTACTGAGGGCTGAACCTAGGGATACTTTACCATTAAGCTACATCTCCAGTTCTTTTGTTTGTTTGTCTTTTGAAACAGGGTCTCACTACATTGCTGAGGCTGGTCTACAACTTGCCATCCTCGTACCTCAGCATCCCAAGTAGCTGAAATTAGATTATAGGCATGTACCTCCGCACCAGGCAGCTTGTGTTTTTTTGTATGTTTAGATTTTTTGTTGTTGTTTTAGTATACAATAATTCCATGTTCCCATATTAAATATGCCATTTATTAATTGAAGAAATTAGTCATTTGTCCTATGGTAGTTCAGTATTCTGAATTTGGTACTTCCAAGGTAGCAATATTTGTTCCAGTATTGTACATAAGTAGGAAGTTAGCTCTCTGATTAGATCCAGATGCAATTGGGTAGGGGCAAAAATATCTTTGAGGTAGCATTGTGTAGTTTCTGAGACATCACGTGACCCAGAATGTACCACTTTCAACTGATTTTCTCATCTGATTCATGCTCTTTAACATGTTTCTCTGTCCCCTGTAAATCCTAACTGGTAAATTTAGAATGGTCCTCAAATTGAGTGAGCAGAAACATCTGGTGCATTTATTAAAACTCAGATGGAAGCTGGATGTAATCCCAGTGGCTTTAAAGGCTCAGTCAGTAAGATCACAGGTTCAAAGCCAGCCTCAGCAACTTAGCAATACCCTGTCTCAAGATAAAATATAAAAAGGGCTGGGGATGTGTCTCAGTGGTTAAGTACCCCTGAGTTCAGTTTCTAGTATTTAAAAAAAAAGATGGCTGGACCCCACCTATGATATTGTATTTTTATTTCTTTATTTTTGGTGCTAGGAATCTAACTGAAGACCTCACACATGAAGTGCTTTCCACCTAACTACACCTGTAGCCAACATTTTACATTTTAGCAAGTTGATGCTGATAATCCTTTTCTGGAGATCATACTTTCAGAATCCCTGATCCAAAGGCCTGATAAGATTCAGACCTAATTATTTGCAGGAATACTTCACATTTAGTATTAATAGTTTCTTTGAATCTGTTTTCCTACAACACATCTTCCTAGTGATGCAGGAATATTCTGAATACTGATGGTAAACTTTGTTTTGTTAACTACTGAGTATATTACCATAGCCACAAGAGTATTTTTGTCACAATATCCAAAATAAGAATATATCATGTATATTTTTAGTAAGATAGTTATCCTAAATCATAAATTTGCTTTTATATGCCATTCTTTATTTAAAAACTTATTTCTAACTTATTTTCAGAATGACATATGTATTCTTAAATTCAAAGATAGCTTTTATTAGAACACTGATATATTATCAAAATACTTAGCATGAATAACAGTTCCCTTTTAAAAGCCTAGTATGTTTTATGTAATTTAAATGCTATAAAAACCCAAGTGATTCCTATTAAGTTTAAGATGTGTTGATTAAAAGACCTAAAAGAAACTAACCTAAAAGTTTCCATAACAGTGTTTTTTTAAATAATTATTCATAAAATAAATAGAAGAGTTCTGTAGAAATTTAGAATTCTATTGCCTACTTTTGGAAAATCCTGTAAATGAACAGGAAAACTCCACTAATTTATTAAACAAATTAAATCTTTGTATATCATTTACTTTTCTTATCTGTGTGGATAAAAGATAACTTGTTTAAAAAAAGACTTATAGCCAGGTGTAGTGTTATACACCTGCAATCCCAGCAATTTAAGATGCTGAGGCAAGAGGATTGCAAGTTCAAAGCTAGCCTCAGCAACCTTTCGAGGCCCTGAGCAACGTAGTGAGACCCTGTCTCAAAATAAAAAAGACTGGGAATGTGGCTCAGGCTTTTGGATTCAATCCCTCAAGACCTCACACATAAAGTGCAGACTTATAAAAATCAAAAACTGATGGTTTAATAGCAGATATGATTTAAGAGAGAATATATAAACCAGAATACAGGTTAGAAGGAATTTTGCAGAATTTACCATGAAGAAGCAAGAAAATAAAATGTAAAAAACGATAGAATGAAAACATTGACCATACATATATCTAATAACTGAAGTTCTGTTCCCTCCCACACCCACTGCTTTTGGCTTAGAATTATAAAATGAAGTTCCTCATTGGGAAAATCCTTTAGAAAAAGAAGTTGGTAAGGAAGGTGTCCTACACTCCTAGAGAAAAGTACAGAGTGATCTGGGCTGGGAATATGCTTTGTACTAACCCTGCAGACTTCTGATAAGTCTTCCAGAACAGGAAGGAGAATTTGAGAGAAGCAATTTAGGGTGAAGGGGAATTGAAGAGGAAGTTGTGATTTGGTCAAAGTTGCTGATTTAGTCCTATAATTTTAAGTGAATGCACATATGCATTTGTGTTTGTATATGTGTGTATCTTGGAATAAACAGTTTAAATAAATGACATCATTGTTTTAAAATAATAAAAGTTCTCAAAGGACAAGACAAAGAATCGGGCAGAGATAATATGTGAAAAGAATGGCTGACATTTTTTTTTTGGCTGATGAAGGATATCCAGCCATGGTTCAGAAACTCCAGTAAAATCTCAAACAGGAAACCCTAAAAAATATGTAAATAAGACTAAGACAAAGACAAACCTCAAACGCAGCCAGAGAAATAAGACACATTTCCTCACCTAAAAAAGAGTAACAAATAGGGTCGGGCCTGATGGTGCACATCAGCTTGGGAAGCGGAGGCAGGAAGATCACAAGTTCAAAGCTAGCCTCAGCAACAGTGAAGCACTAAGCAATTCAGTGAGATCCTGTCTCTATAGAAAATACAAAATATGGCTGGGGATGTGACTTAGTGGTTAAATGCCCCTAAATTCAATACCCAGTACCCGAGACAAAAGAGTAACAAATAGCCAAGTATGGTGCTACATGCCTGTAATCCCAGCAGCTGCAGGCTGAGGAAGGAGGATTGCAAGTTCAAGTTCAGCTTCAGCAATTTAGAGAGGCTCTATTCAATTTAGCAAGACCCTGTCTCAAAATGAAAAATTAAGAAAGGTCTGGGGATGTGGCTCAGTGGTGAAGGCCCCTGGATTCAATCCCAAGCACTGAAAAAAAATACAATTAAGCCTCACCGTGGACTCCTTAACAGCATTGGTATAATGCAGTCAAAGGGATGACTGCCCACCTTGTAAAAGCATGTTTCATGGACTTTTTTTCCAAACTGACTTTTAAAAATTCCCCTCACTGGAAATTCTCTAGGATATTCTTTAGGCAAAAGGAAATCTCCCTAGGTAGATCTGAAGTTCAAGAAGGGAAGACACAGAGAAAACTCATAAGTGTACTACAGATAGGGGCCTTCCGCCTGATGGCCCACATATCATCGCCAAGGCCCTAAACTACAGATAATAATCAACACGTGTGGGATATCAGAAAGAGTGTTAAGAGCCACTCTTCCTGAACTGAAGGAACTGGACCTTTGGAGCAAAACACAGGTACCTCTTGCCTCCTTCATCATCTTCATAGCAATATTTATCATGTCTGGTTTTGTATAAAGTAGATAGCAAAATTTTCATTTAGGTTGTTACCAATTAGTGGATACTGAAATTAATTTGGTGAATAACACCCAAAATATATTTTTTTAAATAAAAAGAATAGCCTGGTATGGTGGTACACACTTGTAATCTCAGCAACTCATGAGTGTGAGACAGGAGGAAGTAGAGTTCAAAGCCAACCTCAGCAAAAGTGAGTCACTAAGCAACTCAGTGAGACCCTGTCTCTAAATAAAATACAAAACAGGGCTGGGGATGTGGCTCAGTGATCAGGTGCCCCTGAGTTCAATCCCTGGTACCCAAAATAAATAAATAAAAATAAAGTAAAAAGAATCATACGGGTACAGTGATGCACACCTATAATTCTAGTGGCTTGGGTAGGTTGAGGCAAGAGATTGCATGTTCAAGAGAACTTGCACATTCAAGGACAGCCTCAGCAATTTAGCAAAACCCCATCTCAAAATAAAAAAAAAAAAAAGGGCTGGGGATGTGGCTCAGTGGTTAAGCTCCCCTGGGTTCAATCCATGGTACCATATAAAAAAGCAAATACAATAAAAAGAATAAGACAAACATAAGAATACATTGAATCTAGTAAAAGTAAGAATTATTTCTTGAGCCAAGCACAGCAGCAGTGTACACCTGTAATCCCAGCTACTCAGGAGGCTGAGGCAAAAGGATTGCAAATACAAGGCCAACTTAGGCCCCGTCTCAAAATAAAGGGCTAGTACGTTGCTTTCCTAGCATTTGTGAGGCCCTGGGTTCAATCCCCAGTACCAGAGGGGAAAAAATAAGCATTATTTCTTGAAATTCTAGGTATGTACATGAGTTTTGGTGTCTCTCTGCCTATATCAGTTCCTGCTATAAATTTTAGTTTTTCTCACTGTATGGTAAGGTCAAAAATATTTGCAAAACATCAGTTTAGGAAGAGAATAAAAAGTAACATCAAACTCCTTTTGATAAACACTCATTACAAATCCAACTTAAACCCCAAGCAGGTATCATGAACTGCTCAGGATAGTCTGTGACATTTCTGTGTATGATAAATCAACATAGAGTATAGCAGTAGTCCCTACACAAGTAGCGTCAAATAGATACTGCTAAGAAGTATAGGCTGCTCTTCTGCTTACACCACAAATATTAACTCACACTACCCCCTCTCTGTTAGAGCTCAGCACAGTTTGGAAATTTTCTCTTTTCTACTTGAGATAGAACTTAATGATAAGCAGCTTTGCTCCCCAAATAAGTTAGCGGTACAGTACTACTCTGTGCAGAATCAGAGTCTCAGTTTTGCTGTTCAAACTACAACTAAAAGTTGTTTCTCTACATTTTCTTTACTCTTCAATTAGATTACAATTTACAGATCTCTATATTGTTACTTAGTACACCGTATATTCTCCAAGGTCCAGTAATATTTAAAAGTAAATAAAGAGGGAAATGGCTAACAACACAACAGGAAAACAGGCCAAGATTGTCAAATTATCTGCAAACTGGCAGGAAGAGCATGCATACTCATCTGATTTGATTTTCAGAGAATGAAAAACTTATCAGAAGAAAACAGATGCTCAGAGCAAGAGCAAATGCATCCTATCTTTGACCAGCTTTTCTCCAGTTCTTTTTATTGAGGGAGAAAAATGGCTGCCAGGAATATTATCTAATCAGGGCAGGCCCTACCAGAAGTGAGCACACAGCTGAATATTTATTATGTCACAAGACTTATACTTCGAGTATACCATTCAGCCCAGATGAACATCCAACGGTCTGCATTTCAGTTTGGGGAAATGTTTCCAATCTTCTGACTCATTATTCTTGGGAGCAAGTGGGTCTCACTCAGAAAATATAATTAGTACACAGTTGTTCATCCCCTAACAATATCTATTCTTCCAGCTTTCTTTTTTTTTAATATCTTTTTAATTGTAGATGGACACAATATTTTATTTGTTTTTATTTTTATGTGGTGCCAGGAATCAAACCCAGTGCCTCACACATGCTAGGCAAGTGTTCTATCCTGAGCCACAACCCTGGCCCTCTTTCAGCTTTAAGTTATTCTCCATGCTGATTGCAGAAAACAGACTTCTAGAAAGTCCTTACCTTCATTATTCCCTCTTCTAGAACTTTTCTCTTTTATGTAATCCTGTCTTGATGGTCAGAAGGCTGACCTAGTGAGTTTATTTTGAAGCAGTAATACAGCAAGATGGATGGGTTACAAGAAAGTGTGACTTCTGTCTTACTAGAAGACTCTCTCTACTTGTATATTTCAATAAAACGACCTGCCATATTGGAGAGGCCCATGTGGCAAGGAACTGAGTCCATCAGTCCACCAGCCTCAAGGAACAAATTCTGCCAACTGTCACATGAATTTGGAAGCAAATCCTCCAGTTCAACCTTCAGTGAGAACCCAGCCTGGCCAACATCTTGAACTGCAGCCCTTGAGAGACCCTGAAACAGAGCCATTCCTGATCTCCTGACCCACAGAAACTGCAGGATAACAAATGTGTATTGTTTAAAACCATCAAGTTTGTAGTGATTTGTTACACAGAAGTTCATAAGTAGTACTATTAGAGTAAAAACACACTATAGCAGAAAAGGAAAGGAAATGGCTTGTCAACCACAGAAAGAGTTCTTCCATTTAAAATTTTGATGATGCTTTTCTCCATGAGATCCAACTATTGTATATATCTGTATGAAAACACAGGTGATTGGAAAGGGTACACACTAAATGCAATAACAATTACCTCTAGGGATGGGAGGAAGAAGGGAAAGGATGTGATGGAAAGGAGTGTTCACTTTTTTCCAAGGTTATGAAAATATAGATCGTATGACATGTTAATGTACAAATTATGTTACAAAGAAAAAAGCAAGAGAGACTCTGAAATTTTCTTGGAAGCCTAGAATTTTTCTGGACTTTAAGCCAGCATCATGTTAATCATAAAAAGGCAAAAAGAATAACTGGAACTCTCAGCAATACAAAATGTTGCAGGCCAGGGCTGGGGTTGTGGCTCAGAGGTAGAGTACTTGCCTAGTATGTGTGAGACACTGGGTTCGATCCTCAATTTTTACAGCTAGATTTTATAAATAAATAAAATAAAGGTCCATTGACAACTAAAAAATATTTTTTAAAAAGTGTTACAATACTTTGGGGAAAGTTTGATACTTTTTATAAAAGTCCAACATGTACTCTGTATATTTAAAAATATGCAGAAGGGCTGGGATTGTGGCTCAGTGGTACAGTGCTTGCCTAGCATGAGAGAGGCACTGGGTTCAATCCTCAGCACCAGATGAAAACAAATAAATAAAGGTATTGTATCCATCTACAACTTTTTAAAAATGCAGAAAATAGCAGGGTATGGTGGCATGCACCTGTAATCCCAGCAACTCCAGAGGCTGAGGCAGGAGGATTGCAGTTTTTAGATCAGGCTCAGCAATTTAGTGAGGCCCTAAGGAATTAGCAAGATCCTGTCTCAAAAATGAGGGGGGAAAAAAAAGGCTGGAGACTTAGTTCAGTGGTAAACCTTCCCTGGTTCAATTCCCAGTATTTAAAAAAAAAAAAAAAAAAAAACAAACAGACCATATGTTGCCAAGAAGATCCAGGGAGAACTCTGAGTAGGAGGGAATGTGCCATCTCTTGGGGTGGTGGTACATGACTGTATGAAACTATCTGCATTTATCATGACTCAGTGCGGTGCACCAAGAAGGGCGAATTTCACTGTAAGTAAATAAACCTGATTTTTAAATGGTTAAAATGTTGTTTAGGGTTTAGCTTTGTGGTTTACCATAATTCTATTGGTTGTAGACTCCAAGTTAAGTTATGTAAAGGTTTCTGTTTAAAAGAATATAAAGAAATTTCTCTTGTTGTCAACATTACTTAGTTGTGCTAGGAACTTTATTATGAAGTTGTCTTATAGAAGAAGACATATACTGAATATCCAAGAACAGACTTTGATTCGTAACATCAAAGTATCATGTGCAGAGATGCTGTTTCAGAATAAGTGGTTGCATTTCTTATGTATTGGTGATATTGTTTATTTGTAGAGAATCATTTTTGTGTAATTTTTACAGCTAGATTTTTAAGAAATTAATGCACTTGAGGTGTTAAATTCTAGATTACATGTCACTGTTTCAAAATTAAAATATAAAACATAAAAGTAGCATTAACTTGATTCAACCTAGGAAATCCAATTTCATATTCTTAAGAAATTAGAATAGTAACAAATGTGTCTTTTAGTTGCCATATAATCAGAGAGTGATTCTAGAATATAGATTTCATATTGAGAAAAAATTAATACTTTTTTTTTTTTAACCCTCCACAGGTGAGGAAGAAAGTGCTTCCCGTTCTTCTGGATGGGCATCCTATCTGCATAGTTGGTCTGGACTTCGATAGGTTGATGGAAAGAAAATTCTTTATTAACCAAATAGAATCCATTTTGGGAAAAAAAAAATGGTCATTTATATTACTGTTATTTTTCTGTTAAAAAGTATGTATATATATGTATGCATCCTCCTATATCTGTACATAAATATAACAGATGTATATAAAGAGTCTCAGCTTGGAGTAAAAGTAGAACTTGAAGTATTGACACCAGTCCACAGCCTTGTAGCTCAACACCACAGACAGTGCAGTTTCTGTGATCTGCCTTGCATGACACCGGAATGAAAACAAAGGATGAAGTCACTCCCCTCTCTGTGAATTTTGAAGTTAAACTAAATTTTGGTACCATACCAACTGGAATATAAGCTCTTAAAATAATGTTTCAAGACTGTTTTTTGCAAGATCAGACTTGCAGATAAGTTGTTATTAATAAGTTGCTGAGAAAATTTGGCGATTAGAATATGAAGGAAAATGCTTTATTGTTGATTTTTGTTTGTTAAAGGATTGTGAAGTAAATACTCTTCAGTTAATTATGAGGTTAAGTTAAATTGCAATGTAGTTGTTTGCTTAAAGACTAACTGTTCTTTTTTTTTTTTTTCTCCAAAGTATATTATCTCAACACTTGTTATGTTGTCGAAAGTGCTGGTTTACTGGCTGATGTAACACTGACTATGAATACATGGGACCACCACTTTAACAGAGGTTGATTTGGTGATATGTCTCTAGGTTCTTGTTATGGTACCACTACTTGCAAGTCATGAGTCTGTTTTGAGAATTCTGTCCATCTCCCCAAATAAGAATTTCTCAGAATAACAACTGCATTACTTAGAATCGAATCTAAACCTGAAACTGGTGCTTCTAGTGTTTGAGTGTTGTGCCCTCAGCATTCCATCCCATGGGATTTTAGAAAGACGACTTGTAGATCAGTGCTGTGTCTTCACAGTTCTGGTGAATAACCCTCGATGTTGGTGTTACTTACCTTTGATGCCTCTGAATATATTTTATTGACTAGATCAAAATTGTGTTCTTAAATCAAAATTTGAGAATTCTATTTTTAATATTTATTTGTTAATAAATCACTACACAGTATGCTCTCTCAAGTTCTTAAGTCTTGCAATTTATATTCTTAATGTTCAGGCTCAGCTAAAGAACTGACTTTGTACTTCAATTACTGGGAACATTGGTTTCCAACTTAGATTAACTGAAATTTGCTGCTGACATGTTGAGTTTGTTCTTTAAAAAATATTTCTTATTTCTGTCTTTTCTCCCATCTTAGAAGAACAGACCTAACTAGTGAATGTATTAAAGAAAATTCATCTATTTAAGAGTTGACTTTAAAAGTTTAGTTTTTTTTACTTTATAAAACTGTGAATATGAGTATGCCAGCAGCACACAATGTAAACTGTATTACTTAAATAAATTTCACTTTCTCTTTGAGCCTAGGCCTTTTGAAATCTATCTAAACTTGTCTTGAAATATAGTCTATGCTTATGATTATAACAGAAACATCTTTTTGCATGATAAAAATTACTTTGATTACAAAAGGCATATTCTTTGGCTTCAGCAATGAGGAAATGTAATGATTATTTTAATATCTATTAAATATTTAACTATATTATATTTTTATGCCTACTCTTCTTCTGTTAGACACTGACTCTTTGAGGTTTTAAATTGCCTTATGAGTTTGAAATGCAAACTCCTTCATGACTGTCTTACACAGTTGGGACCTACTGGGTGCTTAAGAGAACATAGACCAAGCCACTGCAGTGGTGCACACCTGTAGTCCCAGCTGCTTGGGAGGCTCCCTTGAGCCCAGGAGTTCCAGCATGGCCTTATTGAGACCACCCACCCCTACCCAGTCCAACATAAAGAATGTAGACCAACACTTTGGCATGCACCAGGTTGACCATGATGCCCACTCTATCTGACACTTGGCCTTGGAAGCAACAGTTGGTCTTGGCCTTTCTTGGAATAAGATAGACATTGATTCTACCAGAGGCAGGTGCCTATCTGGTCTGCAGCTGAAGGAGTGACTTGAATGAAGGCCTTTGTTCAGGCCCTTTGGGAATTTGAACTGGGAAATGGGCAGGGACAGAGCAAAGTGAAAGAGAAAAGCAGGAGATGCCACAACAAAGGGGAAAAGGTGGCCCTGGAAAGGAATAGACATGGCAGCAATGCCGCGTAGTTCAGGAGTGAGGGATTGAGTTAATCAGTAAATTAATATAATGCTTACATCATTCCCTTAGAGGACTTACTTTTCAAGACTATACCTGCCCAGACCTGGGACTGGAATCCAAATTTCCAGACTAAGTCCAGTGTTGTGACTAATGCTGGACTTGGTCTACAGCTCTCTTCGAAATGTCTTTGTAAACATTTTTAGGCTCCCAAACTTTAAGCCAAAATACACTTATACTACCACAATGCATTTATTAAAGGAAACTTTTTAAATGGTTGGCATCCTGTTTTGCCTAGAACAGTGTGGCTTTGCACCAATTGTTCTTATATAATATTAGTAACACTAACTCTCATTCTCAGAAGAGGCCCTGCCTGGAAGGGAAGTGTCAGTGCCACCCTGCAGTATAGGAAGCAGAGATGGTAGAATGGGAAGTGATAAGACCAGCTCGAATGTAACTCCCCCACCTGTACATGCTCCACCTGGACCACCTGCTAGAAATGAAGCTAGAGCACCTATTGAATTAATCTACAGGTTACTCTCTAGTACAAAAGATAAGATTGTCACCAAAATCACCTTGTGGTGATCATTGTGAGGAGTCATAAATACAAAGAGTGAATATAGCATGCATACATAATGAGCTCAGATCCACCACTCACCTTTAAAAGTTATAAAATACTGCCAGGCACAGTGGTGCACACCTATTATCCCAGCAACTCAGGAGATTGAAACAGGAGGATTGCAAGTTCCAAGCTAGCCTCAACCACTTAGGCCTTATGCAATTTAGCAAGACCCCATCTCAAGCTGGTCATGTGGCTCAATGGTAGAGTAATTGCCTAGCATGTGAGAGGCACTGAGTTCGGTTCTCAGCACCACATACAAATAAATGAATAAAATAAAGGTCCATCAACACCTAAAAAAAAAAAAAAAAATTTAAGTAAATAAATAAATAAAAATAAAAAGGGCTGAGAATGTAGCTCAGTGGTAAAGTGCCCCTGGGTTAAATCCCCAGTGCCAAAAAAATTAAAATACCAACCCCTTCAAAATTCCCTGTGTGTACCTCCCAAGATCAAAAGCCCCTCAAGGTTACTATATGTAAATAATTTCCTGAACTTCATACAAGTCATTTCTATGTTTTATATGAATTATGTTTCCTTGTTTTATAGCTTTATAAAATTTGAATTATTCTCCACATTTTCTTCTGACTTACTTTCTAATTCAATATTACATAAGATAATTAATATTGATGCATATAGCCATACTTTGTTTTCATGGCCATCTAGTATTCCATTTTATTAATATTTCACAATTTATTCCATCTATCAATAGCTATTTCAGTTGTTTCTACTTTTTGTATTCTTTATAAATGATGTTGCCATGAACCTTATTCAGCATTTTTCACAGAACTTAGGTACAGGAGTTTGGCATATATGGACAATGGAAATGCTCTATGATAGGGTATACATGTGTTGAATTCCACTAGTTAATGCCAAATGAGTTGATGGTATCAATGTGGTTTTTTTTAATATTTATTTTTTAGTTTAAGGTGGGCACAGTATCTTTATTTTACATTTATGTGGTGCTGAGGATCGAACCCAGTGCCTGGTGCATGCTAGGCAAGCACTCTACCACTGAGCCACAACCCCAGCCCCTCCATGTGTTTTTTGATTGAGAGTTGCTCTACATTCTCATCAACTGATATCAGATTTTTAATTCTTGCCAGTCTATTCTGCTGGGTGGAATCTTATTGTGGTTTTAATTTATAATTTTCTTATACTTTTAAATTATATCCTTCTAATTCCTAATGAGCACCTTTTCTTATTAACCATTTTATTTCCTATTCCAAGAAATTTCAGTTTCATGTATTCCATGGACTATTTCTATATTGGTTGTTTGTCTTTTAAACCTGGTTCATGAGAACTGCAAATATTTTTTTTTTCCATTTCTAACCTATCTTTTCACTTTTTTGAGTTTTTTGATGAACAAATGTCCTTTTGCAGGGATGGGTGCCAGGATTGAACCCAGAGGCATTTAACCACTGAGTTACATCCTCAGCCCTTTTTATTTTGAGACATGGTCTCACTAAGTTGCTCAGGGCCTTGCTAACTTGCTGAGGCTGGTCTCCAGCCTGCAATTCTCCTGCCTTAGGCTCCCAAGTTGCTGGGATTGCAGGCATATGCCACCATGCCTGACTCAAATATAGTTTTGAGTTTTGTTTTCCCAATTGCTAGAGATGTTGAACATTTTTTCATATGTTTATTGGCCATTTATATTTCTCCCATTTTTGATTGGATTTGTTTTTTTGTTTTTGTTTTGTTTTAGATCTTTATGTATTCTGGATATTAGTACCCTGTCTGAGAAGAAGGTGGCAAAGATCTCCCATTCTGTGGGCTCTCTTCATATTCTTGTTCCTTTGCTGTGTAGAAGCTTTTTAATTTATTTGCACTTATTGATTCTTGGTTTTATTTCTTTCTCTTCAGGAGTCTTAAGGAAATCATTGCCTGTACAATATGTTGATGTGGTGAACCTACATTTTCTTCTAGAAGTCACAGAGTTTTTAGTCTAATTCTTAGGTCTTTGATCCACTTTGAGTTGAGTTTTGTGCAAGATGAGAAGTAGGGATTAAATTTCAGTTTTCCCAGCACCATTTGTTTAAAAGGCTATCTTTTCTTTAATGTATGTTTTTGGCACCTCTGTCAAAGATCAGATGACAATCTTTGTGAATTCGTGTCTGTATCTTTTATTCAGTTAGTCTTGGTGACTTCAGTTAGTCTCAGATAGTTTTGGTACCAGTGCCATGCTGTTTGTTTTAATAATTTTTAATTGTTGATGGACCTTTATTTTATTCATTTATTTATACACAGTGCTGAGAATCAAACCCAGTGTCTCACACGTGTGAGGCAAGTGCTCTACCACTGAAGCACAACCCCCGTCCATACTATAGCTCTGTAGTATAATTTCAGGTCCAGTATTAAGAATATCAGAGAAATCAGAAAGGAACATAAAACTATTTTAAAAATGGGGTCTAAGCGGGCTGGGGTTGTGGCTCCACAGTAGAGCACTCGCCTAGGATGTGTGAGGCCTTGGGTTTGATCCTCAGCATCACATAAAAATAAATAAATAAAGCAAAGGTATTGTGTACAACTACAACTTAAAAACATTTTTTGTTAAAAAAGGGGGGTCTAAGGGAAATACTGCATCCTAAATGTCTCCCTCTCTCACTCATCCCAAGCTGCATTTACCATACATCCTTACTCCTTACTTCTCAGAAACTTCTTAGCTAGCCCTATTACTCTGAGCACAGGATTGTTTTCTTAAGAAACTTAGTTCTAGGGGCTGGGGTTGTGGCTCAGCGGTAGAGCACTTGCCTCACATGTGTGAGGCATTTCGTTCCATCTTGAGCACCACATAAAAAATAAATAAACAAAATAAAGGTATTGTGTCCATTTACAACTAATTTTTTTTAATTTTGAAAAAAAAAAAGAAACTTCTAAAGAAAACACCAAAAAGCCAGGCATGATGACGCATGCCTGTAACCCAAGCGGCTTGGGAGGCTGAGGCAGGAGGACTGCAAGTTCGAAGCCAGCCTCAGCAAAAGTGAGGTACTAAGCAACTCAGTGAGACCCTGTCTTTAAATAAAATACAAAATAGGACTGGGGATGTGGCTCAGTGGTCGAGTGCCCCTGAGTTCAATCCCTGGTACAAAAAAGAAAGAAAAGAAAACACCAAGAGACACTGACATTTGGAAATTCCCTAATGAAGAGATATTTGTTGCCATTATCCAATAGTTAAAGTGCTTTTCAAGAAACCCTCCCACCAACCCAAAATTGACAGCTCTCTTAAGTAAGAGTCTTTTTTTAATTGATTTTTTTAAAAAATGACAGCAGAATGCATTACAATTCTCATTACACATATACAGCACAATTTTTCAGATCTCTGGTTGTATATAAAGTATGTTGACACTATTTGGTGTCTTCATACATGTACTTTGGATAATAATGTCCATCACATTCCACCATCCTTGCTAATCCCCTGCCCTGTCCCTTCTCCTCCCACCCCTCTGCCCTATCTAGAGTTCATCTATTCCTCCCATGCTCCCCCTCCCTACCCCACTATGAGTCAGCCTCCTTATATCAGAGAAAACATTTGGCATTTGTTTTCTTGAGATTGGCTGACTTCACTTAGCATTATCTTCTCCAGCGCCATCCATTTACCTGCAAATGCCATGATTTTATTCTCTTTTATTGCTGAGTAAAATTCCATTGTGTATACATGCCACATTTTTTTTATCCATTCATCCACTGAAGGGCATCTACTTTGGCTCCACAGTTTAGCTATTGTGAATTGTGCTGCTATAAAAATTGATGTGGCTGTGTCCCTGTAGTTTGCTGTTTTTAAATTCTTTGGGTATAGTCCAAGGAGAGGGATAGCTGGGTCAAATGGTGGT